AGCAATGCCAAGCAACGGCAAGCAACGCGACGCAATGCCAAGCAACGCCGAGCAATGCCAATCAAGTAATGCCAAGCAACGCCAAGCAATGCCAAGCCGTGCAAAGCAACGCCAAGCTTCCCGGAGTTTCCCTGGGGTTCTCGGGTTCCCCGCCCAAGTGCCTTCTATTGCTACGTTGCCCGTTCCTCGGAGGTTTCTCGGGTTCCCCGTGTTCCTCGGGTTCCCCGCCCTGGTTCTTGGTCCTGTTTCCCAGCAATGCCAGGCAACGCCAGGCAACGTCAAGCAACACCAAGCAACGCCAAGGAGGTCAAAGCAGTGCAAAGCAACGCCAAGCAATACCAAGTAACGGCAAGCAATGCCAAGCAATGCCAAGCAACGCAAAACAATGCCCCGCAATGCCAGGCCACGCCAAGGAATGTCAAGCAATGCCAAGCAACACATAGCAATGCAAAGCAATGCCAAGCAATGCAATACAATGCAAAGCAAACAAAGCAATGCCAAGCAATTCTAAACAACGCCGCTTAGGACGCGTTCCCCTGATTGAGGACAGGAGTTATATTTAGTATGTGTCCTACAGGCCTCGGAAAAAGATAGCGAACACTCATGCCACATTCATCTGTGAACGCCTCCCCCTCCCCCCAATGTTCAAAGTTGGCGGTGGGTCTGATGAGTTGCACCTCGACCGCAGCCTCCCCCCCGCGTGCCAACTTTGAGTTTGGGGTGCAGGGGGGGTGTTCACTAATTGTTTCCCTCTACCGTACGTGTCTTCGACGGTCACACCGGTCTCACCCCCTTTCTCGAAAAGCGGGAGGCCCTTCGGATAGATGTTTTCTCATACGTGCAGTAGCCGCGTGGACTCACTTCTCTCGCTCCTTGACCCGTGTTTGCCACCTTCCAGGATCCATTTCGATCCGATCGATCCGAGTCGAGATTCGATGTCTATGTCGGCCAGCCCGATTCGAATCGATTGCTGGTTTCCTAGCAATCCCGTGCGGTCCCATGCTTGAATTTGATTTCTTGTGCCATGGAGCAGCCGATCCGATTCGACTCCGACTCCGTGCCGATGCGGCCCGATCCGACGCATGTTCCGAACCGAATCGATTCCCCGCTTCTATGCTGACCGGTTCTGCCGTCTCAAACCCGTAGAGCAACCAGAACCCTTAATAACACGTGGAAGCCCTCTAGCACATCGTCCCCCGTTGCCTGTCATTCTCCAACAAGTCATCATCATGCTCCTCGTCTTTTCTCCTCCCTCCTCACCCTCCCTCATCCTCTCTCTGCTGCTCCTTCTTCCTCTTCCGCAGTATCCATCGTCATCATTCGCACCCCCTCCCTCCTCAACCATCATCATCACTCTGTCTCCTCTTCCGCTTCCCTCAGCCATCCTTCTTCGTCACAGCGCCTCCTCCTATAGCGTTATCCCACATCTGTCCTGCCGCATGCTACCTCCTCCTCCGACCCCTCCTTCCTCCTACTCCACGTAGCTCCTCCTGCACTCATGCCTCGTATCTTTCCTGATCCTTCCGATTTCCTTTTACCTCATCCTGCCTGCTCGTGTGCACCCTCTATTGCCTCCCCGTACCTCATGCCCGCTCCTCCCTCCCACCTTCCCCTCCTGCCTCATGGTCTCCCCCTCACCCGACGACGATGGCACCTCCTATCTCCTCCCATATTCGGACCGAGGCATAAGGTCGAGGTCGGTTCGGGGAGGGCACCCCCCTCATCTCCTCCTCCTCCTCCTTCTCCTCCTCCTCCTCCTTTTCCTCCTCCTCCTCCTGCCCTAGGTCCGACCGTACCTCCGACCTTCCCCTTCCTCCTGCCTCCTGCCTCCGACGGCGACGACGGATCCGGCGGCCACCACGACGACAGCACCAGCGGCGCTCGGCGACGGCGGCGACCCCCTCCGGCAGCAGCGCCCGCCCCCCCCTCCGGCCGAGGCCCCGGAGGGCTGGTCGTACGACGGCCCGCACCTGGCTCGAAGGGGAGGGGGGGTCGGAGGCCACCTCCTCGGGGGAGGGAGAGGAGGGAGAGGAGGGAGGCTCGAGAGGGAGGGGGGAGGACGAGGAGGAGAAGCGGAGGGGGAAGGGGGGACGGGGAGGGGGAGGAGGAGGGGGGGGGGGGGAGGGGGAGAAGGAGGCAGGCGCAGGGGGGAAGGAGGAGGGGGGGGAGGGGGCGGAGGCAGGGGCAGGAAGAGGAGGCAGGGGCAGGAGGGGCAGGGGGAGGAGGAAGCAGGAGGAGGAGGAGGAGGAGGAGGAGGAGGAGGAGGAGGAGCCGCAGGCCCGGTGAAGACATGAATTGTCGGGCACTGAGAGAACACTCTTCCAGACAGGTCGACTGAGAAATTCTGCACTGGTTCACCCGTACTGGTGCAGTACCCAATCGGCTTCGCTAATCCAGATTCGATGTCCCGCCCGGGTCCATTCGGAAGGTGCAGCTTTCACGAAACGTGGCGTTTTGCTCAAGGGCGTTCTGTCAACCTTCGACATTGGAGCGCGTACACCCAGCTGTGGCACGCCAACTCGGCTGCCAGACAGCCGGCTGCGATCACGGAGAGCAGATGTTTGAACGTGTGGTTTTTCATTGGCAGAGCAGGAGAGCGATGAGAAGAAGCGGCGCGGCAGCGAGGGCGTGCACATTCGCCTGCTGGGCCATCATAGCACGTTGCTGATGTATCGTCGCGGATCTGGGGCGTGGCGTGGCAGTGCAAGCCGCACGAATGCGCAAGCGCCCAGGATTGGAACACAGCAGCGTTCTTGTCGTCGTTGTCGTGTTCATTGTTTTGCCGATCGGCGCGGGCCCTCGCATCCCCTCCTCCCCCCCCGCCCTCGTGGAGTAGATCTTGGCTGTGATTGGCGGCCGTTTCGAGCAGGTGGAGCCTCCCCTCATTGGACGCACCGTCTCAAACAGTCTCGCTAAACAGAGGTCCGGAGCCAGACCCCCCCCCTTTCCCGCCCAATGCCGAAACGCCGAACAGGAAAATGCTCACATTGGTATATTTTTGGCCCGCGGGTGAATCATTTCCTTGCCTGTTGCAGCCTCCCCCACACTGCGTGAGTGTCGAGCCGATCCTGAAGGGTACGGTAAGAGGAGGAGGGGGAGGACGACGAGGGGAGCAGAAGGGGGATGGGGCAGGTGGACTGGAACAACAAGCCCTACTGGAACCCGAAGTGGGAGAAGAAGCGAACGACCCGCAGCGCTGCCTGCTGCTGCGCTTCCCTCGTGCCAGGGGAGAACGTCAGGGTGGAACAGGCTTAAGTCGGGCCCGTCCCTCTACAGGGGGGATATTCCAAAGTAGTCAAAAAATAGTCGTCAAGAAACGGTCTGAGGACTATTATTTGATTATTTTTTGACCATTTGGGATTTTTTTTTGTATTTTGCATTTTTCGCTCAAAATTTCACTGTAGGAGGAGAGGCCCGGCCCAAGGATAGGCGCAGGGGGGGCACACCCGCCTGGAGTTGGCAGCGCGTCGCCGGCAGCTCAGCGCCGGGCCCCCGATGGCGAATCCGCACCCTCACCCTGGGCGGCGTAGGCCTCCCAGGCCCCCCTCGGCGATCCATGGGGAATTTGGGAGGAGGAGGAGGAGGAGGAGGAGGAGGAGGAGGAGGAGGAGCCCGTTCGGAAAACCTCCCGGCGATCACGGGCGTGACCGGGAGTTGCCTCCTATCCGAGGCGGGAATGTATACATGACCGCCGCCAGGAGGATCAATTTTCGGGGGCCTCGGCAGGCGGTGGATATTGACATACTTACGCAGGCCGACAGATTTTCCTGTTGAGCCCCAAATGTCAGAAGCGACGTGCCGTTCAGGTGAGCGGATACATGTAGCGCTCTCTTCGGTTTCGTGCCTCCTCCCTCCTCATTCCCCTTTCCGTCCTAGGAAGACCCCCCCGTCCCGCAGAGAGTCATAGCTTTGGTCCGAAGACCACAGTTCCGTGGATAGCATGATGTTTCACGTGCGGTGCCCCGCGGATCCCAGTTCCGCTTGGTACAGGATGTTGTTCCTTACAATGATTTTTACCTAACAGCGAAGACTGATAGGTTTCTAGTTGACTCAAAAGAGCTCACAGATCACTCCACAGGGGGGTCCGGGCAGGTGTTGGGGAGTTGCCGGGCGGCAGGGTGCCGGGCTCGTTTTTCACCAACAGTCACACACTTCGTGCTCTTCGACTTCCCAGAACTCCATTCCCAGGCCACATTCTGAATACCCGGATGCAACAGTCACACACAAAGTGCTCTTCGACATCCCAGAACGCCATTCCCGGGCCACATTCTGAATAACCGGATGCAACAGTCACACACTTCGTGCTCATCGACATCCCAGAACGCCATTCCCGGGCCACATTTAGAATAACCGGATGCAACAGTCACACACTTCGTGCTCTTCGAGTTCCCAGAACTCCATTCCCGGGCCACATTCTGGAGGCCGGAGCAACAGTACCACTTCGTGCTCTTCGAGTTCCCAGAATCCATTCCCGGGCCACATTTTGGATGCCCGGAGCCAACTGTAGGCCACTTCGTGCTCTTCGAGTTCCCAGAACTCCATTCCCGGGCCACATTTTGAATGCCCGTAGCCAACTGGGCCACATTTTGGCAGCCAACTTTCGTGCTCTTCGACTTCCCAGAACTCCCATTCCTGGGCCACATTTTCAGCAGGGGCAAGAGCACGACGAGGAGGAGGACGAGCAAGACCAGGAGGACGAGGACGAGCAGGAGCAGGACGAGGAGCAGGAGGAGCAGGAGAAGAAGGACGAGCAGGAGGAGGAGGAGGACGAGCAGGAGGAGGAGGACGACCAGGAGGAGGAGGACGACCAGGAAGAGGAGGAGGAGGAGGAGGAGGGGAGGGGGAGGAGTACCAGGAGGAGGAGGAGGAGGAGGAGGAGGAGAGGAGGAGGAAAAGAGGAGGAGGAGTAGGAGGAGGACGAGGCGAGAAGGAGGAGGAGGAGGAGGTGGGGGGAGTACCAGGAGGAGGAAGAACGATGACCACCAGGAGGGAGGAGGAGGAGGAGGAGGAGGAGGAGGAGGAGAGAACACCAGGAGGAGGAGGACGAGCAAGACGAGGAGGACGAGAACGAGGACGACCAGGAAGAGGAGGAGGAGGAGGAGGAGGGGAGGGGGAGGACTACCAGGAGGAGGAGGAGGAGGAGGAGGAGGAGGAGGAGGAGGAGGAGGAGGAGGAGGAGGAGGAGGAGGAGGAGGAGGAGGAGGAGGAGGAGGAAGGGGGGGGGGAGGAGAAGAAAGAAGAGGGGGACGAGAAGGAAGAGGAGGAGGAGGAGGAGGAGGAGAAGGAGGAGGAGGAGGAGGAGAGAGCACCAGAAAGGGAGGACGAGCAAGACGAGGAGGACGAGAACGAGGACGAGCAGGAGGAAGAGGAGGAGGAGGAGGAGGAGGAGGAGGAGGAGGAGCAGGAGAAAGAGGAGGAGGAGGAGGCAGGCTGAGGCTGAGGCTGTGACTGCGACTGCCGTTGCCGCTGCGACTGTCATCGCGAATGCGACTACGACTGCGAGAACAGCAGAATTCGACAACTGGATTTTTATCTGAATCTTAAGGGGAATGCTTTCAGATATGCTTCTACACATCGCTGTTAGGTTGCTTTGCCGGGATAATTACCTAACAGCGAAGACTGATAGGTTTCTAGTGGTCTCAAAAGAGCTCACAGATCACTCCACAGGGGGGTCCGGGCAGGTGTTGGGGAGTTGCCGGGCGGCAGGGTGCCGGGCTCGTTTTTCACCAACAGTCACACACTTCGTGCTCTTCGACTTCCCAGAACTCCATTCCCAGGCAACATTCTGAATACCCGGATGCAACAGTCACACACTTCGTGCTCTTCGACATCCCAGAACGCCATTCCCGGGCCACATTTAGAATAACCAGATGCAACAGTCAGACACTTCGTGCTCTTCGACATCCCAGAACGCCATTCCCGGGCCACATTCTGGAGGACCGGATGCAACAGTCACACACTTCGTGCTCTTCGAGTTCTCAGAACTCCATTCCCGGGCCACATTTTGGATGCCCGGAGCCAACTGTAGGCCACTTCGTGCTCTTCGAGTTCCCAGAACTACATTCCCGGGCCACATTTTGAATGCCCGGAGCCAACTGTAGGCCACTTCGTGCTCTTCGAGTTCCCAGAACTACATTCCCGGGCCACATTTTGAATGCCCGTAGCCAACTGTAGGCAACTTCGTGCTCTTCGACTTCCCAGAACTCCCATTCCTGGGCCACATTTTCAGCAGGGGCAAGAGCACGACGAGGAGGAGGACGAGCAAGACCAGGAGGACGAGGACGAGCAGGTGCAGGACGAGGAGCAGGAGGAGCAGGAGAAGAAGGACGAGCAGGAGGAGGAGGAGGACGAGCAGGAGGAGGAGGACGACCAGGAGGAGGAGGACGACCAGGAAGAGGAGGAGGAGGAGGAGGAGGAGGGGAGGGGGAGGAGTACCAGGAGGAGGAGGAGGAGGAGGAGGAGGAGGAGGAGGAGGAGGAGGAGGAAGAGGAGGAGGAGGAGGAGGAGGACGAGGACGAGGAGGAGGAGGAGGAGGGGGGGGGAGAGTACCAGGAGGAGGAGAACGAGGACCACCAGGAGGAGGAGGAGGAGGAGGAGGAGGAGGAGGAGGAGGAGGAGGAGAGAACACCAGGAGGAGGAGGACGAGCAAGACGAGGAGGACGAGAACGAGGACGACCAGGAAGAGGAGGAGGAAGAGGAGGAGGGGAGGGGGAGGACTACCAGGAGGAGGAGGAGGAGGAGGAGGAGGAGGAGGAGGAGGAGGAAGAGGAGGAGGAGGACGAGGAGGAGGAGGAGGAGGACGAGGTGCAGGAGGAGGGGGGGGGAGAGCACCAGGAGGAGGAGGAGAACGAGGACCACCAGGAGGAGGAGGAGGAGGAGGAGGAGGAGGAGGAGGAGGAGGAGGAGAGAGCACCAGGAGGAGGAGGACGAGCAAGATGAGGAGGACGAGAACGAGGACGAGCAGGAGGAAGAGGAGGAGGAGGAGGAGGAGGAGGAGGAGGAGGAGCAGGAGAAAGAGGAGGAGGAGGAGGAGGCAGGCTGAGGCTGAGGCTGTGACTGCGACGGCCGTTGCCGCTGCGACTGTCATCGCGAATGCGACTACGACTGCGAGAACAGCAGAATTCGACAACTGGATTTTCATCTGAATCTTAAGGGGAATGCTTTCAGATATGCTTCTACACATCGCTGTTAGGTTGCTTTGCCGGGATAATTAATATTAGATATCGTTATAATATATATATATATGTATTCCCAGGAGATCCATGGATCCATTTGTTGTCGCACACGAGACAATTGGACCCGCGCAAGACACGAATAGGATCCACGACGCTGTCGCACACCCGAAAAAAGGTCAAATTGGTTCCATCGGTGTTCTCATACTGTTTGGTCAAAAGGAAAAAACGGTCGGCGTGAGGATGAAGGATCGGGCACCCCGCGCCGAACATTCGCCAAAGTGTTAGTGGGATAGTCGCAGTTCGAGATCCCGCTGGAGGATCCGGCGCCCCGCGCCGCACATTTGCGAAAGTGCTATTGGGAGAAACGCCGTTCGAAATTTCTTTGAGGGATCCCGCACCCCGCGCCAGACATTTGCGAACATGTGAATGGAAGAGACGCAGTTCGAAATCTTGTTGAAGGAGCCGGAACCCCGCGCCAGACAGTTTCGACAATGTTAGTGGGACAGACGCAGTTCGAAATCCCAAGGATCCAGCACCCCGCGACGAACATTTATGAAAGTGTCAGTGGGAGAGACGCAGCTCGAAGTCCCGCCAAGGATCTGGCAGCCCCAAATGTCGGAATCGACGCGCCGTTTAGGTGAGCGGATACATGTAGCGCTCTGTTCGGTTTCGTGCCTCCTCCCTCCTCCTTGGTTTCTCCGTCCTGGGAAGACCCCCCTTCCCCCTTTGAATCATAGCTTTGGTCCGCAGATCCACAGTTCCATGGATAGCATGATGCTTCACGTGCGGTGCCCAGCGGATCCCATATCCCCTTTGGTCAAGGATGATAATTCTGCACGCTTCGCGTATCCCCACCAGCCCATCTCAAAACAGCAACTCTTGCGAAACATGAGGCCTCGTGGTGCCTCCTGGGGACCTCTTGTGGGCCGTCTGGGGAACTCTAGGGGCCATCTGGTGGACCTCTGGGGGCCATCGTGGGGGGTTTGTATGAGCGCTGCCCGTCCTCCTGGTGTGACTCGTTCGGGCTCCTCGTGGTGTGAGTCGTTCGAGGCCCGCGTCGTGGTGTGAGTCGTTCGGGCTCCTCATGGTGTGAGTCGTTCGGGCGCTCGTCCTGGTGTGAGTCGTTCGGGCCCTTCCTTGTGGTGTGAGTCGTTCGGGCTCTCGTGGTGTGAGTCGTTCGGGCCCCTCGTCCTGGTGTTCGTTCGGGCTCCTCGTGGGGCCTCTTGGGGGCCTCTTGGAGGGTGGGGCCTCTTGGGGCCTCTTGGGGGCCTCTTGGGGGCCTCTTGGGGGCCTCTTGGGGCCTCTTGGGGGCCTCTTGGGGGCCTCTTGGGGCCTCTTGGGGGCTTGGGGGCCTCTTGGGGGCCTCTTGGGGGCCTCTTGGAGGCCTCTTGGGAGCCTCCTGGGGGCCTCTTGGGGCCATCTTGGGGCCTCTGGCGATCTCGTCAGAAGCGCAAATGAGCGCTGCCCCTTGAGAAGGACAAAATCAGCCCAAAACCTTCGTAAAATCAATGATTTTGCTAAGAAGGAAGAGGAACGCGGCCCCCTCAGAAGGCCACAGTGGGGCCAAAACCGTAGTAAAATCAATGTGTTTTACTTCAACGACGAATTCAGGCGCCAAACTCCCTCCCCCCCTTCGGGGCCAGAATCCTCGTGAGGGTCGTCGTTTTTTGGCCCTCCCAGGCGTCGGAAAAAACCCCTCCAACGACCCGCGGCGCACCCTCTCCAGGTCCAGGGGGAGGGGGTAGGGGGAGGGGTAAACCCCTCCCCGAAGGGGAAGAAGGGGGGTTGAGGACAGAGCGGGCTCTCTAAACCACTCACGCCCAAAGGGCTGGTGGGACTACATTTGTATTATTTATTGTCATCCATATTATTTTACTTATTATTATTATTCATTCTTCCCTACAGAATCCATGCATTCATTATTGTTCACACACGGGAAATAGGTCCGCGCAAGACAGAAATATGATCAACGACGCTGTCGCACACCCCAAGAAGTATCCAATGTGATGCATCGGTGTTCTCATATTTCAGTCCAGGAGGAGCAAACTGTCGACTTGGGGATGAAGGATCCGGTACCCCGCGCCTGACATTCGCGAAAATGATACCGGGAGAGACGAAGTTCGAAATCCCGCTGAAAGGATCCGGCATCCCGCGCCAGACATTCGCGAATGCGTGAATGGGACAGACGCAGTGCGAAATCTCGCTTACGCCGGCCGACAGACTTTTCCTCGTGAGCCCCACATGTCGGAAACGACGCTCCGTTCAGGTCTGCTCCGCGGCCGCCCTCCGCCCTGTCTCTCTCTCTCTCTCTCTCTCTGTAGCTGCCGGACAACTAGTATGCTTGGCCCCAGCTGCAAGAGAGCGCGCGAGCGAGGTGTTCGCTCGGTTTCGGGCCACGAGGCCCAGATCGATCCGGCTCGGGAAAAGAATGCAGCATAGAGATGGGGTTCGGGATGTTGTAATTTTGTCGCGTCGACGGACCTCAGGGAAGGAGCATCGAAGAAGAAAATTTCGCAAATGCGTTGACTGTCGAAGGGCTGGACGGATGTCTTGATTTTGCAGTGGGCGCCCCTGGCGGCGCTTCTGGCGCCGCCCCTGGCGCGTTCTGCGCGCCAGGGAGGGGGGTTCTGGCGCCGGTCCTGATTTCATGATGTTTTTTCCTGCACCTCTTGCATTTTCTGCTGTCTTCCTGCGTGTCCTGCATTTGCCTGACGTGCTCCTACACTATTCAGGAGGGAAAGAAACACACAGACAAAATTCATCCTCGATCCCCAGGAAATATGGGAAAATATGGGAAGTGGGGGGGAAGACGAAAACCCAGAAGATATGGGAAAATATAGGGGAATTTGGTTATTTGTGTGTATTTATTTGCGTGTCCCAATTTCCCTTCGATTATGTGTTCGGTCTCCGGAGGCCGCCGTTTGTGGAGCGCTGCGGCTCGGGACGGAGTGCGGGCCACCCAGGGGAGGGGGTCGGAGCCCCGAAGCTCTGGGAGATCGAATCGTCGAAGGTCTGGGGACATGGACTCCTGGACTCCAAGGAGGAGGAGGAGGAGGAGGAGGAGGAGGAGGAGGAGGAGGAGGAGGAGATAGAGAAAGAGGAGGAGGAGGGAACCCTTACAGGGGGATTTTGGGCGAAAAGTACAAGATAGTCAAAAAATACCCCCCAAAATGTTCAAAAAGAGTCAACAAATCGTCCCCTGACTATTTTTTGACTATTTGGGAATATTCCCCCTGTAGAGGGACAGGCCCGTGAATTCCTGGACTCTGGGGATCCACGTCCCCACACCTCCGATGGATCCAGAAGTCCACGTTCCCGAAGAGCTTTTTTTTAGTAGACACTCTGCGGCACGACGCGCGTTATGCCCGACTCCTCCCCCCCATAACTTCACGCTCCCCCCCTTCCCCCCCGTTGTGCGCCTCCGGCACTGCCATTGTGATGCTCGCAGGTTACTGTAGTGCTTGTCGTCGATATCGTCGTCGTCGTTGTTGTTGCCGTCATCGTCGTCGCCGTCGTCGTTTTAGTCGTCGTCTTCGTCGTCCTCGCCCCCGTCCCCGTCCGCGTCCTCGTCCCTGTCGTCGTCGTCCTCGTCCTCGTCCTCGTCCCCTCGTCCTCGTGGCGGTCGTCGTCCTCGTCGTCGTCGTCGACGCTGAGGGCCTCGAAGGGCCTCCAGACACCTCCAGAGGTGTCCGGAGACCTCCTTAGGCCTCCGAAGACCTCCAGAGGTTTTCAGAGGCGGCTGTCATTCTCGTCGTCGTCATCGTCCTCGTCGTCGTCGTCGTCGTCGTCGTCGTCCTCGTCGTCGCCGTCGACGTCGTCGTCGTCGTCGCCATTGTCGTCGTCCCCGTCCTCGTCCCCGCCCTCCTCATTCTCGTCCTCGTCGTCGTCGTCGAGGGCGTCGAAGGGCTTCCAGACTCCAGACGCTTCCAGCAGAGGTCTCTGGAGACCTCCTTAGGCCTCCTGAGAGTTCTGAAGACCTTCAGAGGCGGCCGTCGTCCTCGTCGTCGCCCTCTTCCTCGTCCTCGTCCTCGTCCTTGTCCTTGTCCTCGTCGTCATCGTCTTCCTCTCGTCTCGTCCCTGTCCTCGTCCTCGTCCTCGTCGTCGTCGCCGAGGGCCTCGAAGAGCCTCAAGATGTCTCTAGAGGTTTCCAGAAACCTCCTTAGGTCTCGGGAGACCTCCAGAGACCTTCAGAGGCGGCCGTCGTCGTCGTCGTCGTCGGCGTCATCCTTGTCCTCGTCGTCGTCGTCGTCGTCGTCGTCGTCCTCGTCGTTGTCGTCGACGTCGTCGTCCTCGTCCTCGTCCTCGTCTTCGTCCTCGTCGTCCTCGTCGTCTTCGCCCTCGTTCACGTCCTCGTCTTCGTAGTCGCTGTCGTCGTCGTCGTTCCCGTCCCCGTCGTCGTCGTCGTCGTTATCGATATCCTTATCGTTATCGTCGGCGTCGTCGTCCCCGTCGTTCGGCGCTCGGGCGTCCTCGCCGGCCAGCAAACACCAGCGCAGAATAATGCTCGAAGGAGGGTGTGGGGAAAAAAAACTGATGCTGCACGTAGGCACTGCGCAGTACACAGGCGATATGGTGCACGCGGCTGCGGCGGTGCATGCTGTGCTGCGCACTGTGGTGCTTCCTGTGATGCGTACAGGCGCTGTGGTGCCGGAACCACGCTGTGGGCGTCGACGGGACGGTGACGGGCCGGTGACGGCGGCTACATAGCCGCCAGACCGGCAGACAGACCCAGTGTGCGTCAGAGCAGAAGCAAGGTCCTCTAAGCGCAAGCACTGTTTGGGGAATTATCTAACGAAGCCGTTTGGGCATGTTCAACACTTCTTTGAATGCACATTCGCTCCTTGTTGGAAGAAATCAGTCTTCAGCTAGACACCGCCGTGGGATCCGTGGACCTCGTCGCCGCGGTAGGGCGCACGGCCACAATGGCAGTGAGCCCAAGGGGGGCGAGGGACAAAAACGTAATCGGTGAGTGAACGGCGCGGATATGATCGCAAGCGTCACGCGCGCTCGCAGCCAGGCGTGACTGCGCGGCCTGCGCGGCGCCGCTGCAGACTTGCTCCACGCGAGGGGGCGGATCGAGACATACTTTTCCACGTGGGTTCCAAGCTGCTTTCATTCAGGAGGGGAAAAAACACACAGACACAATTAATCCTCGATTCCCCAAAAAATATTGGAAAATATGGGAAGTGGGGGGGGACGACAAAAATTCCGATGATGTGGGAAAATATGGGGAATCTTTTTATATGTGTGTGTATTTATTTGTGTGTCCCAGGGTCCCTTCATTCATGGGGGGGGGGCCCTCGGCCTCCAGTGGTCACCTTGTCGAGTCGCCTCCCGGGCCACCGCTCTGCTCCGCAGGAGGCCACGCTGGGGTTATCCCAGCGTGGCCCGTGCGAAGCGTCAAGCAGGAGGGGAAAACACACAGACACAATGAATCGTCGATTCCCAGGAAAATTTGGGAAAATATGGGAAGTGGGGGGGAAGACAAAAGCCCAGAAAATATTGGGATATATGGGGAATCTGTTTATTTGTGTGTAGTTATTTGTGTGTCCTGGGGCCCCTTCAAATATCCCAGTGTGGCCCGTGCGAAACGTCAAGCGCAGAGTGCGAAACGTCGAGCACAATGTCAAGCACAGAGTCGACGCTGGCCGTGCGAAAAACGTCATGCACAACGGCAATGCTGCGTGCGCGTCGATGGCCCATCGAGGGCCCACCGGTTCTCGGGATTCCAGAAGTTCCCCTGCGTTCCGTGCCGTGCCCGGCAGTATCTGACATTAGCGACGACAGATCTCGGCTCCGCGTCCCGACGCTCCTGTCGAGGTCCAGCTGCTGGCGTGCGTATACGTATGCCGCCCCCCCGGGCGAGGCGGACCAGGAAGGGACGAGGCATGCGGGGAGAGGATGAGGCCCCCCTCCCCCCGTCGTTCCCGCCCGCTGGCCGCCAGGATCGAGGCGGAGCGGCCGCTTGTCGAGCGCCACGGCTTCATCGGCTACCAGAAGATCCCCTTGGACGAGGACGAGGGCGCATGCTGTGAGGGGAGGGGAGAGAGCGAGACAAACTGTGAAGGAAAGCGCCGGATCAGGTGCACTGCGGAAGTCAGAGCGTGAATTACCTCCCCCGCTTTCGCTTCCAGGCAAAACCAAGTCATACCACGCGCCTCCCCGTCAAGCGGCCTGACCAGTACAGGCTGCAATTTGGCATCGTTTGGTATCTCTTGGAAGCGAGGGTGGTCAAAAGCGAGGGAGGTTTGTTTTCCCCCTAGGAAGGGGCATCCCGTCGATCCCCCGAGCTTGTTCCGTCGTGTCTGGCTCTTCCGCTGTGTGCTGATGTCCCGTTCTGCAGCCCGTGGTCGCTTGGAACGTCCTAGGCTGGGCCCTGCCCGTCGGGAAGCACGAGCAGCATGCCATGTTGTCGCTCGCTGCCGTTTGCCGTGCGTGGCGCGAAACAGCAGGGCACATTTTCGATTCCTGCAAGTCGACTCGATGTCGATGGATTCCGCTTCCGATCCGATTCGGTTTCGGATTCCGATTTGGGATCAGATTGTTCAGTGGAGGCCTACTAGCCTGCCGGCGTCCGCCGATTCGACTTCTCCCGACTCGGTTGTCGATTTCCGCCGATCCGATTCAGTTCGATCGCCGATCCGACTTATCGATTCGACTCTGGGCTCTCCAGCATGCGTGGCGCGAAACAGGAACCCACGATAGTGTAAACTGCCTGGCCCGCAACTTACGAGCACCAGGAGCAGCAGGATGAGAAATCAGAGGAGGGAGAGCAGAAGCTGATGGGCCTGTTTTACACCACCACCACCAGAAGTTGGATGGGGAGGGGGTCCCTCCTCCCCCTCCTCCTCCTCCTCCTCCTCCTCCTCCTCCTCCTCCTCCTCCTCCTCCTCCTCCTCCTCCTCCTCCTCTTGGTCCTCCTCCTCCTCCTCGTCCTCCACCACCTTCCCCCCTCCAGCTTCTGGTGGTGGTGGTGGAAAACATGCCCATCAGAAGCAGCACAGGGCGCACGGGCGAGAAGCGGGGGCCAGAGAATGCACGGCACCGCGAGAGTGGCGAAGCGTCGCCCGCCCGTGGCCGATGCGTGTCCTCGAGGGGCCTCGCCCATCTTGGGGGTCCACAGCTTCTGCCCGTCAAGCGTTACCCAGCTGGCTGCGGTGAGTTCCCTTGGCATCCCTCGGGCGCGTGCATTTTTTCTCGGCCGGGGCCATCGAGGAGCATTTGGGGTCACCTTGCGAAAACAAGTGCACGCACGACACCGACAGATGCACGGGGAATGGACGTCCGAGCGATGGCGAGCTCTTTGGGGTCCACAGTTCTGACCCGTCAAGCCCTATCCAGCCGCCTGCGGTAAGTCCCGCCACCCTACTGGCGCAGCCCTCCGTGCGGCGAGTCTCTGGGCACCGCCCCGGAGGCCTGTAGCGTGTGGCGCATCTCGGGGCTCTCAATGGGCTCTTATGAGGGGCCCACCTCGGCCGTCTTGGGCCCTCTCGGGGCTCCCGTGGGGCAGTCTTAGGGTCGTCTTTGGGCCCGCGGGGGTCGACTCGGGGCATCTTAGGGGCACAGTGGAGACCCATGCCAAGAGACACCCGGCTTGACTCCAGGGTGCCCTGGGTGCCTTGGGCTTCGACTGCTTTGCTATGGAGAGCGTGCCGCTCCCAACCCCAAAAGTCACTGGGCGCGCTGGAGTCTCAGGGTTGGGTTTCTTGTGGAAGGTGTCTCGTGGTCGAGCTCCCACTGCAAGCTTGGTGCTGTCTTGGACCATCTCGGCCCCCTCTCGGCAGTCTTGGGGCGTCTCTCGGGGCGGTCTCGGGGGCACCCCGGGCCGTCCTGCTGCCGTTGTGGGCCCCTCTTGGGGCCGTCTTGTGGCCTCCTGGGACGGTCCTGGCACCGCCTGCGGCAGTCTCGGGCCCCCTCGCGGCCGCCTCTGGGGGTCCCTGGGCGCTCTTGGGACCGTCTTGGGGCATCTGGCTTGGGATGGGAGGGTGTGATGCAGCATCGTGGATGCAGATTGGGTTTCCTCTGGTCCTCCTCCTCTTCCCTTTCCTACACTCTGCATTCCTCCCTCCCCCTCCCCTGGGTGCGGCGATTGCTCTGCTTCTCCGTGACCCCCGACAGCATCTGGAGGCCGAAAGCCCAGAAAAAAACACATGTAGATCCTGGACCGCTGCACTGTGCCCCTCGCAGGCCGCCGTGGGGCCCTCCTGGGGCGGTCATGGGCCGTCTGGGGGCAGCGCCGTTGGCCCTCCTCGAGCCCTTTTGGCCTTCCTCTGGCGGTCCTTCTTCGCTCTTGGGAAACATCTCGATCCGAGAGCATTTTGGGACATCGGCGATGCTCGACAACCGGATGATGTTCTTACGTGTTCGGCTGATTTCGGCCTTCCTGGAGGGCATCGTTGCCTTCCCTCCAGTGCCTGGACGCCTATCGGAACGCCTGTGGCGCCTTTTGGAATAAATCAGGGGGGCTACCAGGTACCCCTCGAAGCAATTCTGGGCCAACTTGGCTGGCCGTCCCGAGCCGCACTGGAAGCCTGGGGGGAGGAGGACGAGGACGAGGACGAGGAGGAGTAGGAGGAGGAGGAGGAGGGGGAGGAGGAGGAAGAGGAGAAGGAGGAGGAGGAGGAAGAGAAGGAGGAGGAGAAATAGGAGTAGGATGACGATAGGAGGAGGAGGAGGAGAGGAGGAGGAGGAGGAAGAGGAGGAGGAGGAGGAGGAGGAGGAATAGGAGGGAGGAGAGGAGGAGGAGGAGGAGGAGGAATAGGAGGAGGAGGAGGAGGAGGAGGAGGAGGAGGAGAGATGAGGAGGAGGGGGAGGAGTAGAGGGAGGAGGAGTAGGATGAGGATGAGGAGGAGGAATAGGTGGAGGAGGAGGAGGAGGAGGAGGGGAGGAGGAGGAGGAGAAGGGAGGAAAGGAGGAGGAGGAGGAGGGGAGGTGAGAGGAGGATGAGGAGGAGGAGTAGAGAGGAAGAGGAGGTGGAGGAGAGGAAGAGGAGGAGGAGGAGGAGGAGGAGGAGGAGGAGGAGGAAACCTGGGGGAGGTGTCGCGCCACCGAGGGAGCCTCGGGAAGGGGGGCGCGATGCACGCAGGGTGGGCGTGGCGAGAGTGGGCGGGGGGGGGTACGTAGGTCGTCAGATCTGACGCTTGCGCACCCAGCGTGCCCCCCTCACGGCTCCCCGTTTCCTACTCCCCCCTACCCCTACCCCTCCCCCTCCCCTTCCCCCTCCCCCTCCCCCCCCTCTGCCCCCTCCCCGCCCCCCCCTCTCCCTCCCTCTCCCTCCCCGCCACTCTACAACTACACTATATGAATACTGCTCTCCCCTCTCCCCTGGTGGCGTCTGGGGAATGTCGGGCCCCCCTCCGCGTGTTGTTGTTTTTGCACATCCGGGAGTTGGGTTTTCGCATGTTGTTTTATCCGTAAGGGCTTCGCCCCCTGCCGCCGGCCCCCTCTCTCCATGGAGAATGGGCCAAATCCCGTGTGTTTTTGGACCCTGACCCCGCGGATCTGCGTGAGGGGTGGCACCGAATTTCAGAAATGTGGCAAATCCCCTGTGTTTTTGGACCCTGACCCCGCGGATCTGCGTGAGGGGTGGCACCGAATTTCAGAAATGTGGCAAATCCCGTGTGTTTTTGGACCCTAACCCCGCGGATCTGCGTGAGGGGTGGCACCGAATTTCAGAAATGTGGCAAATCCCGTGTGTTTTTGGACCCTGACCCCGCGGATCTGCGTGAGGGGTGGCACCGAATTTCAGGAATGTGGCAAATCCCGTGTGTTTTTGGACCCTGACATTGCGGATCTGTGTGAGGGGTGGCACCGAATTTCAGAAATATGGCAAATCCCGTGTGTTTTTGGACCCTGACCCCGCGGATCTGCGTGAGGGGTGTCGATTTTGAGCCCCCCCAGCAATTCAGACAACGCGCCCAGGTGGTGCTAAAAATCGGGTTTGGGCCTCCCTCCCCTCGCGCGGTCAATCAACTAGTTACAGTAACCAGCAAGAAGCAGAACTGTAACACTGGAAACTACAAACTACAACTGGTACAGGAAACTGCGAATCACGGGCCTACAGCCTGGTGGCCCCACAAGGGGGCCGGCGGATCTTCTGTTTTTCAAAATGCTGCTCTCGCTGAAGCGCTGGACTCTTTTTCGGGCTACCGCTCGTTCCGAATCGTGCTCCCGCTGCAGCGCTGGCCTCATTTCCGCGCTTCCGCTCGTTCCGAATCGTGCTCCCGCTGCAGCGCTGGCGTCAGTATTTCCAGCGCCATGCCCCAGCATGGTTTTCGGTCCTTCCAAGTAGGCCCCCAAATCTAGAAAATGGACCCCCGACAAAAAACATCGGAAGTGATTGCACATTCGGTTTTGGGGCCGCGGAAGCCCCCCCCCCCCCCACAGTTTGGGGCGTCGCCACGCCATGCTATGTCAGGCAGCGCGCCCTCATTTCCGCGCTTTCGCGCTGAGTGTGTGTTGTTAAATGCTGCTCTCGTCGAAGCGATGGCCTCATTTTCGGGCTGCCCCTCGTTCCGAATCGTGCTCCCGCTGCAGCGCTGGCCTCATTCCCGCGCTTCCGCTCGTTCCGAATCGTGTTCCCGCTGCAGCGGTGGCCTCATTTCCTCGCTTCCGCTTGTTCCGAATCGTGCTCCCGCTGCAGCGTTGGCGTCATTATTTCGAGTGCCATGCCCCGTCATGGTGTCCGGTCCCCCCAAATAGACCACAACATCTAAAAACATGCTTCCCGTTGAGCCCATCGGAAATGATTACACATTCGGTGTCGATTCGTTGATTGTTTGGGCTGAAGAAGCCCTCTGGGGCGTCGCAACGCCATGCTATGTCATGTTACGCGTTGATGTTCGATACCATGCTATGCCATGTAATGCTACGAGATGCTATGACATCCGGTCGTGCGACTAGAGAGATCTACGCCATGGTGAGGGATGCGAGGGAGGGGTAGGACGTCAGACATGAGGCGAGCTCACCTGGCTTGTCTTGTCCCCTCCCCCCCTCCCCGAAGCCCTTTCTCTCCCCCCCCTCCTCCTCCTGCGGGGCGCGGGGGGGGAGCCTCTTTGAGGCCGCGGCCTCCACGCCACGCCCTAGTCTAGTGTGCACGGGCGGGCTCCCTCGCGGAGCGCGCAGGACCCCGGCGTTCGCTTCGCTGCGCTCCGCTGCCAGGCAGCCCTTGGAACGACGCCGCGCCTCGAGCGCGTGCCAGGGGCCACGGCGGCGGGTGCCGCCCAGGCGCAGGAGCAAGGAACATTTCTGCGCTCGGGAGGGGCGCGCCGTTCCCCTGGCGCGCCTCGTCGACCACGGCGCGCTCTCCGGAGGCCAAAGGGGGGCCTCGCTCCTGATCCAGCGTTCGGTCGGGCACGCCCCTCTACGGGAGGAAAATCCAGAAATAGCGAAAAACATCAGTCTGGGGACGATTCGTGGTTCGTGCTTTGATTCTATGGGCGTCTGATTTTCCATCGTCCTTCCAAAATCCGCCTCTGGGAGAACACGCCCGACCCAAATCTGGCGCTCCTCGTCCTGGAGGCCTCGCGCGGCGTGCACGCCCGCCCCGTCACGCGCAGGGGACGACGTTCGCGCGGCGGTGCTCCGGCGTACACCCGACGTGGGTCCGACAAAAAAATCCGACGCCCGCCGACGTGCGCCCGATGTAAAAATCCGACGCGGAGCCGACGCGAGCTCGGTCTTGAGGTGCTGCGCGAGGCCTCTCTCACCGAGCGCGTTCTGCTACTCGCAATGTGCCTACTCGCAAGCGTCAGGGAAAACGCGCGCCTTCCTCGATGTAATGGTTCGTAAATCCCCCGCCGCGGATTCAGGCCGTTTGTGAGTAGCTACTCTGAGAGTAGTCGAACGCGCTCGTCGACTCCCGGAGTTACCTCCAGCGCAGCAGCCTGACCGTATTGGATGACTGTGTGTGAAGTCCGCTCATATCACTTTTCTATCCGTCTATCCTGATGCCGTCTCGGCTCAGGTGTTGGAAACTGGCACCGCGCCGCTTGCCCGCGGCGCATGGGGAAAGGGATCGCTACCCTCTCCCTGACCTTCCTCTTCCTGCGGGTAGCTCAGTAGTCTGGACGCCCGAAATGGGTATGGAACGAATGGGTACAATGCCCAACAGCAGTTCCTGTTCGTTTTGAACAGGACTCGCTGTCCGCGCCGCCGCGGCCTGTGTCCATTTGAAACAGAAGGCCGCCTGCCCAACAGCGGCCGCTGTTGGTTGGGGACAACATTTGTTGTTGGGCATTGTACCCTTTTTTTCCGTACCCATTTCGGGCGTCCAAAAGTAGGTTCGATTCTTCGGCCGTCAACTTGCATGCGCAAGGATAGCCAGAGTCGCACGCACACGGGCAGCGGAGCGGGGGACGGGTCGCGAGAGCGGCTGCACGAATGCTATGCCTTTTTTTTCACAGCCCCGCTGGCATGGCAGCAGCCGCTCACCAGCTCCCATCTCCTTCCCCCCCCTCCTCCTCCCCATCCCTCCTTCTTCCTCCTTCCCCTCCATCCCCTTCCTCTTCCTCCTCCTCCTCGTCCTCCTGCTGCTCCTCCGCCTCCTTCTCTTCCTCCTCCTGATCGTCATCATCATCATCATCATCATCATCATCACCATCACCATCACCATCACCATCACCATCACCATGAGCATCATCATGATCACCATCATCACCATCACCATCATCACCATCATCATCATCATCATCATCATCATCATCATCATCATCATCATCATCATCATCTTACCTCCCCCTGCTGGCGCTCCTCCAAAGCAGCGTGACCTTGCACCCCTCGCGCCCCCACTGGTTCGGGGCGGCCGCGCTGGCGGCGTGAGGGCGGGCCTCGGGGTTGTGCTCCCCCAGGCCCGAGCACGCAGACTCACACACAGGCTGGCCGTCGCTCCTGAAGGCCGCCTCGACCCAGCCGATCCGACCCCATGCCGATTACTTTTGTGGCCGGCCCGCTTCGCTCCGATGCCGTGCCACTGCGGCCCCCTCCAGTGCGGGTTCCGGTGCGATCCGATGTTCGGAGCCGATGCCGATTGGTGTTGCCCATGTGCGCGAGTTTGTGGGAAACAACACACAGTCTGTTGGAAAAAAAAACACGTGTGGGAAAACACACACGCACAAAACACACACACACACACACACACACACACACACACACACACACACACACACGTGTGTGTGTGTGTTTTCCCACGTGTGTGTGTGTTGTTTTCCCACAGACCAGCTTAAGCTCCAAATCGATCCGTTTCACGGCGTCGAGATGCGCATCGACGGCGGATCTCGGGGTCCTCGTGCTCTCTCTGCGCGCCTGGCCCGCGCCTGGCGCGCCCGTGTCACATGCCCGACCTAGCGTGGTCAACTTCTGTCACCCTGTCGGCCCATGTGGCTGCTCCGCTGAGGCCCACCTGAACACCGTCTTGCAGAGACTTGGAGCTGTCTTCCAGCGCCCTGGAGCCATCAGTGTTGCGGTCTCGGGCCGTCTTGAAGCTGGTCGTTGTCGGTCTTGGGCCGTTTGGAGGCGGACTGGAGGACAGATTTTGGGCTGGTCTTCCTGCAGGCCCCGCGGACCCATTGGGAACCCTTCCACTGCGGCGTAGAGGTGTTTTGTGAATGATCTCCGAAACACACATCGTCTCAGCGATTATTTCTTTGCGCGCGGGTTGTCTGTAAAACAGCTGCGTTGGTAGCGCGAGTTGTTTGTCCGCCGCAGCTCCTACAACCTTCCGCGAAACCTAACGCAAATTTTCCCGCCCCCCCCGCGCCCACAATTTCAATGTTCAGTTGCGCGCGCGGCGCGGTCCGCGGACGCCGACGGAAAGAATCGATTCGCGTGTCTCGGCATCAACATTTCAATCTTGGGGTCTGGGGGTGCCGACGCGGCGCGGGAAAACTTGGGTTGAGCTTCGCGGAGGGATGCAGTACTGATTGTGGCGCCTGCTGGGGAAGCACGTGGTCCGCCCCCCATCACCTCCTCCTCCTCCTCCTCCTCCTCCTCCTCCTCCTCCTCCTCCTCCTCCTCCTCCTCCTCCCTCTCCTCCTCCTCCTCCTCCTCCTCCTCCTCCTCCTCCTCCTCCTCCTCCTCCTCGGGCCCGGGCCCGAACCTTGTGGGGGGAAACGGCTTCCCGAAAGGAGGCATGATCCTATTTTTTCGTCGGACTTCAAGCAGGGGGCTCGCAGCGTTCTGAAATGATGCAGGATGCAGGCTTCACGCAGTGGTGTGAGCAAGTTAGGCGGCAGGGCCGTGCGGATCAGGAACGAGAGCGAGTGGAGGACCGTGATCCTCCCCGCCCCCCTTCCCTTGCCTGCCTGCCCAGCTCACATCCCTGCCTGCCCTGCTGCACCCCCTTCTGGTTCGACGCCCTTCCCAACCGGAACCGCGTCTTGCAAGCCCGGCCAGGAGAAAGTTGCCCCCCTCGGATTGCCCCCCCCCCCCCCCCCCCCACACACACACACACACACACACTCACCATAGCAGGGATGCCTTTTCCAAATCGAGCGATCTGATAGGAAGAGTTTCGGCTGGAAGGTCACATGGGGGAAACCAACATTCAGCGAGCAGAGGCGTGTCTTTCCAAGACCTCTTGGAGCCGGGGTAGCAGCTTGGATGCCTTTCAGAACCCTTTCAGCACCCAGGTTGCTCCAGGGTCCCCACCTTGAATCCGAGCAGATGAGGTCGTAGGGTCACGCCGCATCGCCGATGCATCGGCGATGCGGCTCGGCGATGCGGCTCGATGTGGAGCCCGAGTTGTGCACGCCGACGGCGCCGACGCATCGCGACGCATCGGCGATACGGCGCGACCCTCGGACCACCTCGGCTCGGGCCCTCCTCTGGGGGGGGCCCCTGGCTGCCCCGCGCTGGCTTCCGCCCGAGGCTGCACGCGCCGCGCAGGGTCTCGCGCGAGGCTCGGAGAGCGGGGGGGGGGGCAGCGGCAGCAGCCAGGCGAGGAGCAGAGGCCGATGCCGCTGTCCTTCCCTCGCCGCCGCGTGGAGAGGCGCTTCGAAGACAGTTTTCGTCGGCACACGACACGCCTCGGCGGCGAGCGAGGGGGGCAAGCGAGAAGGGGCGGGCCTTCTCAGAAGGCCCGGCAGTCCCCCTGCCTTCTGAGAATTTTGTTTCTCAGCCTCCCCCGACGATTCAGAAAAAAACCTCTCAGAAGGCCGGATGGCTCCTGAGAAGTCCCGCCGCCTTCTGAGAAGGCCTTCTGCTTCTCATTTCCCCTCCTCGCTCGCCGCCGAACCCTTCGAGGTCCGGGGGGCAGCGGCATGGGTGCCGAGGGAGGACGAGGAGGAGGAGCCTCGGCCGGTGGCTTGCCTGCCGCCAGAGGTCCGGGCCCCTGAAGTCCTGGGAGGTCCCCGCGGAGGCCCCCCTGGAGGCCCGGCAGGGGCCGAGCAGGTCCGAGGACCTCCCCCCCCTCGGGGGCGGAAAAGAGGGGAGTGATGACTAGGGGGGGGGTGGATATCATGGCGGGGGCCATGATATCTCCCCATATTTCATGGCGCCTCTTCTTATTTCATTATGTCCCTGGCCCCCCCGCTGGGCCGCGCACATGCCGCCGGTCATGATTTGCACACCCCCCTCTTGGACACCCCCCTCTTGGCCGCTCCCGACCCCCCTGGACCCTCGAGGGTTGCGGGCCGAGCTCGGCAGCATCGGCGCGGGCTCGTCCGCGAAAGCGGCGGGCGGGCTGGGCCGGAGAGCGGATGCTGCGCCCCACAGGAGGTCGTGTCCGAGCCGCTCACCGACTCCGGGTTCGGGAGGGGCGAGATGGAGGGGGAGGAGGGGGAGGGGGAGGAGCAGGGGGGAGGGCGTCAGGAGAGCAGGGGCGAGGGGAGAGGGGAGGGATAAGGGAGGGCGAGCACGACGGAGGGAGAGCGAGGGAGGAGGAAGACGAGGAGGAGCAGGAGGATATGTCCGATCCGCTCGCTAGGTCCGAGCTCTCCAATACTTGCCTTCGTCACGGCTGAATGGCGCATGATTGACATCCGTTTCTTCGCATCCGTAATCGAGGTCGAAACATTTCCCATACTTGCGTCGACGATGCGACCAGTGTACTTCTAGCAAGAGGAGAGGAGGAGGACGTGGGCAGGAAGTTAAGCGACAAGCCCATGGCATACGACACAGATCCCGCACGCGTATGCACTAGCACAACTGCAAGACATATTCTTTCAACAACGAAGCAGTGGTTGCTGTATCCGGCACAGACAGCAGCACATGCACAAGCAGTTTCGCACAGGTCTACCACCCACGGTGGGAGTTGTGAGTGTTCGTGTACTTCTAGTGAGAAGCAGGCTTCAAACAGGCTATGCGTTTCATCGTGAATTCACATGTCGCCTGGCAGTTGTGGACACAGGCTGCGCGGCCATAGTTCGCGATTGGTACTAGCCCAGGCTGCCGTACATGTAAACATGAGCAGCCTTCCTCAGTCGAGTCTTGGGCCCCGCGCTGGCCGGCATCGAGACCTTCTTTCCCACCTCCGTGCAGCTAGGCAAGTTTCAGCCCCGTGTGATTTGGCACGCTCGCAGGGCAACGCGAGGAGCAGCGATCTTGGATCGAGGTGATCTTCTTGTTTCTCCCGCCAACGGTGGAGTTCTGCGTTTCTGGCGCGTGGAAAACTACTGCTACGACGACTACATTACTAGTCATACGAGCATGGGTGGCACGAGTAAGCGAACTACGCACGATTTTGGTATTCATACAGGGCCATTTATTGATGCAGGGACGAACCCAAACAGTAATGCTAATACGGGCGCTTAGAAGTAATAGCACGCATACTCCTCGTATTCCAGGAACTTGTGAAGGTCAGTATTGTTAAGTTGGTATCACTCGTTGTACTACCACCACTGGTATTATCAAGAATACGGGTGACAAACCACTTCGTTCCATCTTGTTATTGTTGTCCACATCCAACATGGGGTTCTTGTTTTCTCTGGACACCCCGCGCAGGAACAGGAACACCCCCTCCATTCTCACCCACACACTCACACACTCACATCATCATCATCATCATTATCATCAGCATCAGCACCAGCACCAGCATCACCGCACCATCATTACTTACACAATCGCACACACTCATTCTGCAATTCACTCACTCACAACTACTGTTCATCACTCATCATCACCATGATTCTTACATTTCACATCGTCAACAAAGCCTCGTTTGGGAGCGAATTGAGAGGAAGGCTCAGGCGGGACCCCCCTCCCTATGGGGCTCGCCGCTGATTAATTTTTAAATGAAAAATATCCGAGCGGGCCATCGGAATCCTGTACATGGTGTCATTTGGGGGCCCTTGTGGCTTAGGTTTGGAAGAAGTATCCGGCGGGAGCTTCGTCTATGAATGAATTGCAAGGAAGTCTCAGGCGGGAGCCCCCTCCCTATGGGGCCCGCCGCTCATGTTTTCCATTTGAGCAGGTCATCGGAATCCTGTAGCTGTCGTCACTTTTGGGCCCGTGAGGCTTGAACACGGAGGAAGTAACAGGCGGGAACCTCGTCTGTGAGTGAATTCTCGAGGAGTCTCAGGCGGGAGCAATCTCCCTATGGGGCCCGCCGCTCATGTTTTTCCAAGCGGGTCATCGGGATCCTGTAACCGTCGTTATTTCGGGGCTCTTTGGGCCTGGATATGGAGGAAGTATCAGGCGGGTGGCGGCCGCGCTGGACATCGTGTTGGACCTTCGCGCATGCCACGGAGGCAGTGACTCGCAGAACTGGCAGGAGTCCACGTACAAGCGGCCGCGCCACCACTTCGGGCGCGTTCCCATTGTGTTGCACTGCAATTCCCTGCAGCTGAAGCCCACGGGCAGCGTCGGCCTCCTGACGGACGTGAACGAGCTCCTGGACGACGGGTCCTACAAGTACGCGGAGCCGCCGCCGATGGAGATTCAGCACGCCATCAAGGGCTTCTCTCAGATCATTTTGCGTTTTCGGGCCGAAAGGCAAAAAGCGCTTCGCGCCCGGGGACCCTCTGATCACGTTCTTGGGGTGCACGCGCGAGGGCAAGCCCTTCCCGCCAGATGTCTGGTCCGCCTGGGAAGCGACGTTGGCCTCGGACAACCGCGGCGTCCTGGACCCTCGGCACCAGCGCGAGAACTTCCGGCTCGGCTACGTCATGGGCATATACTGGGAGACGCTGGCGAGGTTGATCGACGCGCTCGTCGCGACGCGCGGCGTCCGGGCGCGCCCCCTGTTTCTTTGCAGGCCGTGGGCGAGCGCAACGCGATTCAAGGCGATCCCGACGCGGGCCGGCGCTTCTTGAACGTCCCGAACGCGCCCGAGACGGGGAACATCCACGGCGTTTTACCGGCCCACGTCGGCATGGAGTTGCGTTTCACGGCAGCGCAGAAAGAGTTGAAGAAGAAGTTGAGGCTCGCGCAGGAGCAACGGGCCACCATCGCACCCTTCGGGTTTCATCCCGAAGACAGGCGGCGGTGCGAGGAGCGCTCGCCGGGCCAGCTTTTCCGCCCCCGCCAGCTTCTTCGCCATGGCTGCAGGTGCGCGGCTTCGAGTCTCCAACGTACCAGGAGGTCGCCGAGGTGCTACTACAGGGCGCCGAAGGCGCCGACGACGACGGCGAGGCCGAGGCGCGGGCGAGGGGCTTGCTCATGTTCAGGCCCATCGAGCAGGAGCTCACGCGGCAGAGGTCGGGGCCGCGCGCCGCGCGCCGCTCGGGGTGCACCCCGACGCACGCGTCGCGCCTCGCCTCCACGCCGTCGCTGGGCCAGACGCCGTGCAAGGGCGTCACCGCCCACTGCGCGAGGGACGAGGACGCTGGTTTCACCGGCAGGTCGGACGAGCAGCGGCGGCCGCGCCTTTCCGCCATGTTCCCCCGCGCCACGCGCGCGCGGAACACGCTGATCCTGCGTTCGCCGCCGCGGGAGTTCTTGGAGCGAGGGCCGCCGGCGCCCATGCGGAAAAGCGCTCCTGGATCTCGACGTCAGAGCGGAGAGCTCCAGGACGCTGGCGGAGCAGCTCGCGGCTGGGCTGGGTCTCGCGCTGCCCCCCGCCCGGGCGCGGCGGCGCCCCGCTCGGGGCCCGCGGGGTTGCCCCGGCGGCTTGGTCTCTCGCGCCGGCGGCTCGCGGGGTTGCCCCGACGGCCTGGCCCGCGGGGCTGCCCCCGACGGCCGCGCGATTCCTCCGTCGGAGAACGCGCCCCTGCCAGGCGCGGCGGCTGGGGCGCCGAGGAAAATCTACGCGCGCGCCCCTGCCGGGGCGAAGGAGAGGCGCAGGGGGGGGAGCGAGCGGGGCGGCGATGAGGGGGGAGGGGGAGGTGGAGGAGGGCAAGGCGAGGAGGAGAGGGGGGAAGTGGAGGAGGTGGAGGAGGTGGGGGAGGCGGAAAAGGAAACGGATGAGAAATGCAACGAGTAGGACGAGAAGGAACAGGAGGAGGAGAAGGAGGAGGGAGAGGACGAAAGGAACCCTCCGCCAGGTGAAGAAGAAAAGGCGAGGCGCGAGCTAAATCGATTTTCGCGCGGGGTCCTGCCGTCGGAGCAATCATTTCCAAGGCGGGTGCGGCCAGTTGAACGAATGACGATGCTACAGCAATTTCCCATTCAATTTTTTATTTTTCAATGGAATCGTTCGACGAGGGCTGTCTTTCCCCGAACGACGCCGCGCGGCATTCCCGCCGCTTTCCTCCTTGCGCGCGCGAGACAGCAGCGCGCGGCCAGAGTCGGCGCTTACATAGAAGCTGGCGGGCACCTTAAATGATTTCAGAATTATAAGTCCGTTATTAATTGGTTCGATTTTTTCTTAATGTATTCAATGGGCTTCGGTGTAAATCAAATCGGTTTGTAGACCGTTTGTTCGACGGGCTTCCATCGGTTTCTACAAGGTTTCCAGGGCAGTGTTGCGACAGCGGCGCCACGCGTCGGTCCCGCGCTGGCAGCGGCGGCTGGCGGGGCGCTGCATTCCGCCCGCTGTCGCGACGTAGCGGGCGCGCCCCCGAGCCGCGTCGCGCGCGCGCCAACGTAAAGTGGCAACGCCAAATGGACCCATGACCGCTACGGTGCATTATGTAACTGGACTAGTTGTCCCTGCTTTGGTCAACATCGCCTTATTTTGCAGTTTCATGTTTTTGGATCAGCTCTTTCCAGTCTGACTCAGACTGAAGGAAGTTACGGCCTTGACCTGCGGGCTTCCACGCGCGCATTGAAATTTAAAACTGGAGTTGGACACCGGCTGGAATGCGACTGGCGGTATTGCCTGTTAGAAATGCGACTACGACTACTACCAATATTCACACCAATGCGACTGCGAAAACCAGCGTTGACACAAGTAGCAGAAGGCCAACTTTCCCAATCAGAGCTTGCCTCTGCAGGGGTCCTAGCGGACTCATCGGATTAGGTGTCGCGGCCGGTTTCGGTGGCCGGGCCGGGTGCCCCGGAGTGCCCGGATGCGCCCGGGTGCCCGGGGGTGCCCGAATGTGCCCGGGGTTGTTTGGAGGTGCCCAGGGGTGCCCGAGTGCTCTATCGCCTCATAGCCCTACAGTTTTACATCCCTATAGCTTTACAGCCCTATATCCTTATAGCCCCGTAGCCGTATTGCCCTACAACCCTATAGCCTTAAGCTTTATAGCCCATAACCCTACAACCCTATAGCCCCTACAACCCTATAGCCCTACAGCCCTATAGCCCATAGCCCTGGAACTTTGTAGCCCCATAGCCCTATAGCCTATATCCCTACAGCCCTGTGGCCCTATAGCCCTGTAGCCCGTAGCCCTAGAACCCTATAGCCCCATAGCCCCATAACCCCAAACAAAGATGTTTGGGTTTTTTTGGTGTTGTTATATTAAAGATATCTATAATACGGCAGGCCACGGGAGACCACGGACAAACAAAGCCTTTGACCGATCCCGTATTTGGCAACCCTTGCGTCTGGCTTCTGAGAAGATTTCTGTTGGGACTTTACCGACAAGCAGCTTAGGCACAACATCAAATTCCGTCCCCTTTTCACTTGCCGTTTCGCCGCCATTCCGTCGAGCGTCGATGGTAGGCTGAACGGGTGGCAGCTGCAAGCGGGAATGTCAGGCGCGGCTGGTCAGGAGTGGGGACCAAAAAGCAGTAGGCGAGAGGTGATCGCGCAGGGTGGCAACATTGTAGGATCTGGCTGCGTGCGTGGGTTATTGCCTCCACTGTTGGAGGCCTCCAGCATTCACTTTCGGTATCCTTCCCGCACCTCCCCCCACCTCCCTCACAGACCGGTGCCTGCACTCCTCATCATTTGTGTGGTGTGAGCGCAAAGGGTATTCAAACTGCTTGGGCATGGCGACATAATGTCAAGAGACTGGGTAATCTCAGCTTGGGCATTGTGGCGCGAGGAGGAATGATGTATACATACATACACATTTATATACATATATATATATACATACATACAAAGAGATGAGATGGTCAGCGGGGTGTGGTACGCTCGTCCCTGAAAAGAGCACCACTGGATGCCCCAAGTGGGGCTCGGGGTGGGAAGTAGACAGGCTTCTGTCATGGTCGTGTGGGTTCGTGTGGCCAGCATTTGTAGCATGTGTAGTTCGTTTACGTGTTAGCAGCCCGGAAGAGACACGGGCGTCTCTGAGCACAGCCCGGCATGGAACTGGACGAGTCTCGCCTCGTCTCTTTCCCTCCACCTCCAGTGCCCAATTCAATGTGATCGATCTGCTTCGATACCGACCTCGGCCGATCCGATCCGATTCGATTTCGGTTTCCTGGCGACCTCTTCGCCTCCTGCGTGACGTCGTCGTCGTCGTCGAAATCGTCGTCGTCGACGAAATCGTCGTCGTCGAAATCGTCGTCGTCGTCGTCGTCGCCGCGCTAGGGGCGTCAAGGGATGCTTCTGGCGCGGCGGGCACGCGCTCGCGCGGCGCGGGCAGCGCGCGCTCGCGCGGCGCGGGCCGCGAGCCAGGCTCTACAACGCCTTCCCCAACGTCCGCATCCCCGGCTTCACGCAGCCCAAGGGCTGAGCGCGTGCGCGGGGGGCCGGTCGTGCACACGCGCTTCCGGGCGGGGTCTCGTGGCGAAGGAGGGTTCGGGACGACGAGGCGGAGGAAGAGGAGGAGGAGGAGGAGGAGGAGGAGGAGGAGGAGGAGGAGGAGGAGGAGGAGGAGGAGGAGGAGGAGGGGGGGGAAGACCACGACGACCACGACGACCACGATGACGATTTCGACGGCGACTTCGACGGCGACGACGAGGACGGGGAGCGAGAACGGGGAGCGATGTCGGCTCAGGGCACGGCCGGGCACGCCCGCGGGCCCGCGGGCACGCGGGCCGAGGCGTGCCCGCGGGCCGACGGAGAGAGGGGGCGCCGCAGTGCCGACACATCGGCGGTGCGTCCAGGGCTCATCTCGATTCTTCCGATTCGATTCGATCGCGATCGATTATGATTCTTAGGCTTACGCCACACCGCCGACCCCTTGTTTATGCCAATCTGGGGGTAGTAGAAGCTGCGAAGGGGTGAAAAGGCGAGTTATATTTGTTTGGTGTCTGTTCGCCGCCACCGCCAGAGGGTCTCGGGCAGTTCCGCGGGGGGGTCCGAGCGTTCGATCGCGATCGATTATGATTCCGATTCGCTTCGATTTGGGATTCAGAGTTGGCTTCCGATGTCTCAATGGAGGCCTACTAGTTAGCCTGCCGATTGCCGCCGACTCGACCTCTCCCGGCTCGGCTGCCGATCTCCGCCGCTCCGATCCATTTTGATCGCCGATCCGATTTGTCGATTTGATCATGGGCTCTCCTGTGTGGCTCGATGTGGAGCACGTTTTTTTTGTCCACACCGACGTCACCGATGCATCGGTGCTGCGGCGCGATCGAAGACCGATAACAGTCATTGCCCAACTTGAACAAAGCAGGGGTCGCTGTTGGCATCGCCGTGGACGGTGTCCGCTTGGGTCAAAAGTCGCTTGTCCAAGAGCAGACGCTGTCCGATTTGGACAGCATTTGCTGTTGGGCATTGTACCCGGCGTTTTTCGTATACCCGTTTCGGGTATGCCAAGAGAGGGAGGGAAAAGCGGGGCGGGGAGAAGACAGGCGGGGGGGGAGGATTTCTTGGGTCGTCGAGGCACGGAAGCGGGTCTACAATCATTGAGGGTTTCGATCGTGATCGTCGTTGCACGGCGGCATTGCGGGGGGAGGCGGGTGTAGGACGAACAGGGAAGACGGAGGACGAAAAGGATAATGCCAGCGCTTCGTCCGTAGCCATGTTAACTCGCGCCATGCTGGCTCAAGGTTTCCGCCGCCGTGCGACAACCATCAGGGCGGCGCCCGACGCATCCGCCTCCCGCTCCCGCTCCATTCTGCCCAGGCGCTGCGTGTTCCATTCTAGCCACAGCGTGCAGTTGAAGTTGGTTGCTACAATTTTTCGGTCGCGTCCGCAAGCGAAGGCGCAAGCGGAGTCAGAAGCGCTACGGGTCACGACAGCGGCCTAATTTGCAGCTAGACGCGCCGCAAGCCGGCCGGCCCGCTCATGCAGCAGCGGCTGACTGCGCGGGAGAAGCTGCAAGCAGGGTTGGTTGTTGCAAGCGTCCTGGATCATTTGGCAGAAAAAACCACGCGCGAAGCCGAACAGAACACAGGGAAGGGACGTCCGAGCGATGGCCGGGCTCCCACTCCATTCCACCCAGGCGTGGCATGTTCCATTCCAGCCACGGCGTGCAGCTGCAGCTGGTTGCCACAGGCGTGGCAAGCGACGCGCACGCCGAGGGCGAGGCGAGTGCGGCCTCGCCGCACGAGGCATCTGCGGCAGCTCGAGGCGCTCATGCCCCCGCGCAGGGGGCCACTGGCGGCGCGGGCGGCGCCGGTTCTCGTGACGCTGGCCGTCGTGGCGGCAGCCGTGGCCGTCGGCGCGAAAAGTGGGCGTGCCACCGAGAGGACCTTCGCCTTGTCAATCTCGTTCTCCTCCTCCCTCCTCCTCCTCCTCCTCCTCCTCCTCCTCCTCCTCCTCCTCCTCCTCCTGGGCTGCGTCCCGAGACCGCGCGTGCACTTCGGTGCTGAGTACTCCAGATTTCGTCATAAAAGGGAGGGGGTCTCATTTCGGGGGGGGGTCTCTTCCAGGCCATCTTGGAGGGCCTGGGGGGGTCTGGGGACGGTGTTCTGGAGGGTTCTCTCCCACGGGGGGGGTCTGAAGTGGCTCGTCTTGGAGGGTCCAGACCCCCTTTTTTTTATTGCGAGATCTGAAGTGGGCCTCGCGGTGCTGACGTCCAAGGCCCGACCAGCAGTGACACACCACGCAGCACGCGGACGGCACCGAGACAACACTTGCCCCTACAGTGGGGGCGCCTGCCAAGAAGCCAGCTGGATTCTGCCAGGGTGCCCTGGGTTTCCTGGATTTCGATGGGCTCCCAATCAGATCTTGACGAGTCTCGATCGACACATGTGGATTCTCACTGAACAAATCGCGGATTTCAGGGTTGTGTTTCTTGCGGAGGTTTCTTGTGGCCGAGCCCCCACTGTAGTCCATCCTTCCAGTCAGCAGTGGGTCAGCCCGCGACTACAGTAAGCGACGTGCGGATATGTTCCCCTGGCAGGCGGGATCGATGTTGCCAGCGGTCGAGCGTGAACAGAGCAAGACGAACCATGGAGTACCAGTGTTCACAGAGAAGGTCAAGCGATTGGAATGAACATGTCGGGTTGATGCAGACTGGGCCCACCGAAACGCTGGCAGAGACAGTGCCAGCCTCTTTCGACCACCCACCAGACCCCATGATCCTGACCATCATATCCAAGAGCTAAGCAACGAAGGAAACGGTAGCTCTGTCAGTGGTCAAGCCCGTCATTGAAAAGAGGGCAATTTCAAATGGTGGATGTTTCTCTTGCACAGCTGTGCTCTAGAGCTCGGACATATTTATGTTCGTCGTGGTTCGTGGTTCGTAGTGGTTCTTCCCCCTCGGCCCCTCCCCTGAGCCTGAGCCTGAGCCCCAGCTCCCCTGAGCCACCCACCCCTGGGGGGGCTTGCGATCTGCGCAACCGTCGCCACTTTCGTGGGCTCCTGGGAGGCCCAGCGGAGGTACGTCATACGCGGACCACCTCGGTACCTCGCCGCCCCCTGGGGGGCTTGCGATCTGCGCAACCGTCGCCACTTTCGTGGGCTCCTGGGAGGCCCAGCGGAGGTACGTCATACGCGGACCACCTCGGGACCTCGCCGCCCCCTGGGGGGCTTGCGATCTGCGCAACCGTCGCCACTTTCGTGGGCTCCTGGGAGGCCCAGCGGAGGTACGTCATACGCGGACCACCTCGGCACCTCGCCGCCCCCATGGGGGGTTTGCGATCTGGGCTGGCGGGCAGTTTTACGGTTTTTGTATTTTTTGTTTGCTCGTTTGTAATAGTTCCCAGTCTTCCTGTGGTGTTGGATACTCGTTTTGAATAGAGCAGTGTGGTCTCCACCTCCTCCTCCTCCTCCTCCTCCTCCTCCTCCTCTTCCTCCTCTCCCTCTCTCCTCCTCTCCTGTCTCCTGAGTTCCCTTCTCCTCTTCTCTCGTGCCGTCTGCGATCTGCGCAACTCAACTGTCGCCACTTTCGTGGGCTCCTGGGAAGCCCAGCGGAGGTACGTCCCACGCGAATCACCTCGGCACCTCGCCGCCCCTTGGGGGGCTTGCGATCTGCGCAACCGTCGCCATTTTCGTTGGCTCCTGGGAGGCCCAGCGGAGGTAACTCCCACGCAGTGATTGGGTGCTCCTGCTTATCCTCGAGGCCGCGACCTTTTGCTTCTCCTTACGGGTTCCTTGATTTGGGTTCGCTGCCGCGCCCTTTTGTCTCCACTTTTGGGTGAGCCCCCCCTCCGTTATGCACCTCATGCATTTGCCTCTTTCAGCGCAGCGCGTTGCTGAGTTAAACCGATGTTCTGGTTTAGCCCTCGCCGCCCCCCGCTTTTGTGTTTCTTTCAACGCCCTTGTGCTTCCATTTTGTATGTTTGTTGCCCCTCTTCTTGATACTCTCGTGTGGTTTTACTCCTGAGTGCTCTTCTTGCGCACTGCGGGTCTTTCAGAATGCTAGTCAGCATTGCGTGGTCCTGAATATCAACGCCACGTGTATAACAAGAAGGGTTGGGTACGCCGCAAGGCAATTTTGACAATCTCTGATGTTTCGCCCAAAGTCTCGGGGGTGGACAGAACCCCCAACAGTGACACGTCGATTAGTGAATTGTCCGTTTTCGGTTCTCGAGAGGTCGCCGCGGCCGTTATTTTCCAGGCTTGCGCCCGCCAGGTTTGGGCCTCAGGTCGTTTTCACTAAACCACGTTCTACTAAAGGGAGGTCTGTCCATCCCCGAAAGTCCCCCCTGTATGGGGGGGACAGGCCCGACCTAACCTTGTCCCGCTCGCGCACGCGCCCCGCTTCTGGGCCGTGGCGGGGGCCGTCTCGAGAATCTCAGCGCTGCGCTCGAGGGGAGACGGCCCGCAGGCGGCGCGCCGGAGGGGGCACAAGAGGAGCGGGGGAGGAGCAGGAGGAGGAGGAGGAGGAGGAGGACCAGATGGGCGGGAGAAGGAGAGGAGGAGGAGGGCAAGGCGAGGAAGGGGGCATGCGTAAGAACAGCGGGGGAGGAGTGATGAGGGAGGAGGAGGAGGAGGAGGAGGAGGAGGAGGAGGAAAAGGAGGAGGAGCAGGGAGCTTGGAGGACTGAGGAGGATGGGGGGGGCGCAGGAAGAGGAGAGGACGGAGGAGGAGGAGGAGGAGGAGGAGGAGGAGGAGGATACTTTACGGAGGGCCAGGAGGAGGACGGGAAGGCGGGAGGACGAACAGGAGTGGAATCGGGAGGGGACTCAGGAGGGCATGGAGGAGGAAGAGGAGGAGGAGGAGGAGGAGCTGACGATAACGACGACGATATTTCATGGTAGGGCAGGGGCAGTGACATGAACCGATGAGTTTGGAGAGGCACCCATCTGGAAGCCACGAACGCAACTTGCCTCTAGAAGGCAGAGCGCGGCGACGCCATCGCATCTGAATGGTGATGCGAAGCGCTTGTCTTTAGAGCCATAGAAAAATCCACCTCGCGCCTTGGGGGCACGCATCCTTCCTCGCGGCAGGGAAAATGCACCTCGCGCGCGGGACACCGCAATCTGTTGATAGTGCAGTACGGACGTTGTCGGACATGCTCCTCGGGGTGACTAGGCTACGATGGTTTCTCGGCCTTCGACTCATCATGCGGGGCAAGTGGCGTGCATGGTAGTGGCTCGCTCTCTGGCACGCTCTGCCGCCCCGATGAGCACCGCGCGTGCGCAGCATGCCGCACACACCGGGCGCGCAGCACGTGGGCACCGCGCAGGGGCGCGGACCGACGGGAACCGAGACGCTGGAGCTCCCGAGGGCATGCAGGACAGCGGCGGGCACGGCGCTTCGGGCGCCGCCCGCGCCGCGTCCTCCCGAGGTCGCCCCGGCGGCCGCGCGCCTCCGCCGCGCGGGCAGCCCGAGCGTGCCGCGTGGGGCCGTGGGCGCGGGGACTCCGGGCACGCGCGGGTGCCCAGACGTCGGGCCCAGCCTCAGCATCGTTCAACCGATCCCTACCCTTAGGTCGGGCCTGTCCTTCTACGGGGATTTTCGACGAAAAATGAAAAATACCCCAACAATAGCCAAACAATAGTCCAAAAATAGCCTGGGGACTATTGTCGTATTTTGATGTATTTTTTATTTTTCGTCGAACATCCCCCTTGTAGGGGTCACGCCCGACATAATCCTACCCCCGTTCCTATTCCCCATCCCGATCCCCACCATCCCACCACCCCCGTTGGGGACATGCCCCTCGAAGCCCGAAGGGAGCCGCCCGCATCCCCATCTCGGGGGTGCGTCGGCCAGTGGGACCCATGCCACGCCGGTGGGGACAGGGATCGGTGCAGCGGTGCGCACAGCCCTGGAGTTACCTTTGTTGCGGCACCGAAGGGTGTCTTCCCTCAATCGGCACGGCTGCAGGAGGTCTTGTCCTACGCGGCGGCTTCACCGGGCCCCCCATCTCGCCCTCACTCCCTCCTCTTGGCGTCGCTGGGACGTGTGCATTTGTCCCTCGGCGAGGACCATCGAGGAGCATCCTTGATGATTTGGCGAAAAATTCCACGCACGAGACCGAAACAAAAGCACAGGGAATGGACGTCCGAGCGATGGCCAGTCCTCCCTCTCGGAGACTGCAAGAAGTCTTCGTTGCACATGGTCGGTTTCGCGCGTGCAGCCCCGCTGGACTGTCTCTTCGAGAGCAGGAGGAAGAGGAGGTAGAGGAAGAGGAGGAGGAGGAGGATGAGGAGGAGGAGGAGGAGGAGGAGGAGGAGGAGGAGGAGGGGGAGGAGGACGAGGAGGAGGAGGAGGAGGAGGAGGAGGAGGAGCACGAGGAACCTGGTGCGTCCAGTGTGGGGCCCATGCTCGTTCAGAGGTCAAATCCAGGTTCGAAGTCGTCGGCCATTGGGGGGGGGGGACCTGATGGCCTGCAGGACCCTCCGGCGCCCGAGTTCCCTGGGAAGCACGGGGGGGGCCTGCCGCCGCCGCCGACAGCTCCAAGTCGGCACCCGTCGCCGACGACCGCCGCCCGCCGAGAGTCCCTGCGATCCTGGGCGCGACCGCGCGCGACGCGGCGAGGCCGGGCTCTCCGCCCAAGGGGGGCGGGGAGCCGTCCGACCTTTGGCGTGGCGGATTTGCAACAACGGTCTTTCTGTCAACGGACTACAGCTGGGTCTCCCACCAATCACTCCTCCTCCTCCTCATCATCATCCTCATCCTCATCCTCATCCTCATCCTCCTCCTCAGCATCTCCTCCACCTCCTCCTCCTCCTCCTCCTCCTCCGCCTCCGCCTCCTCCTCCTCCTCGACATCTATCCTTTCCGTCACTCTCTCTCCTTCCCAACCCTCCTGTGGTGTCGGGTACCCGTATTAGTGTGGTCTCCGCCTTTTCCTCCTCCTCTCCTCTCCTCTCATCCTTCTCTCCTGTCTACGGTGTTCCCTTCTCCTCTTCTCTCGTGCCGTCTGCGATCTGCACAACTGTCGCCACGTTCGTGGGCTCCTGGGAGGCCCAGCGGAGGTACGTCCCACGCGGATCACCTCGGTACCTCGCCGCCCCCTTGTGGGGCTTGCGATCTGCGCAATTGTCGCCACTTTCGTGGGCTCCTGGGAGGCCCAGCGGAGGTACGTCATACGCGGACCACCTCGGGACCTCGCCGCCCCCTGGGGGGCTTGCGATCTGCGCAACCGTCGCCACTTTCGTGGGCTCCTGGGAGGCTCAGCGGAGGTACGTCATACGCGGACCACCTCGGGACCTCGCCGCCCCCTGGGGGGCTTGCGATCTGCGCAACCGTCGCCACTTTTGTGGGCTCCTGGGAGGCCCAGCGGAGGAACGTCATACGCGGACCACCTCGGGACCTCGCTGCCCCCTGGGGGGCTTGCGATCTGGGCTGGCGTTTTTTGTTTTTTTGTATATTTGTTTGTTACGGTGTTTGTAAGATTCGTCTGCTCGTTTGTAATCGTTCCCAACCCTCCTGTGGTGTCGGGTATTCGTTTTGAATAGAGCAGTGTGCTCCTCCTCCTCCTTCTCCTCCTCCTCCTCCGCCTCCTCCTCCTCCTCTCTTCCTGTTGGGTGTTTTCTTGCTATGTTTCAGCTTTTCGTCCACAATCGGCCTGTAGGGGGACAGGCCCGAGCTAATATTGGCGATCCCTGGGAGGCGGAAGTTCCGAGGCGGGTGTTATCCATAATCACCGCCTGGGGGATCAAGTTTCGCGGACCCCCACAGGCGGTGGATCGATGGATGGATGGATGGATGGATGGATAGATAGATAGGTGTATATATATACATACACAGATGCAGATGGACATACATACATACATACACACATACGTACATACAAACATACAAATAAACATACATACATACATACATACATACATACATACATACATACATACATACATACATACATACATACACACACACATACATACATACATACATACATACATACATACATACATACATACATACATACATCATACACACATACATACATACACACATACACACATACACACATACACATACATACACACATACATACATACATACATACATCATACATACATACATACATACATACATACATACATACATACATGCATACATGCATACATACGTACATACATACATACATACATACATACATACATGTACACATACATACATATATGTATACATACATACATACATACATACATACATACATACATACATACATACATACATACATACATACATACATACATACATATATGCATATATATACATATATATGCATATATAGAATCGGGCCCCGGAGGCCAACAACATATCCATGCCCACCGCTGGCTGGAGCACCAGGACGTCGATTCCCAGGTGGTGGATCTGGGTGCACCCCCGCCTCGCAGAAGTGGGCCCACGCTCTCCCATCCCCGGCCGCGCCGGTTGGGGCGCAAGCGCCTTCCGGCACGTGCCGGCGCGGCTCAGGGGGTCCATACTTGGACCCTTCCTTGCCCAGAGGCACGCTTGGGCTGCAGCGTGCGCTCGCGAGCGCGCGTGACTCCAGGATGCCAGACGCAGCTGCCCTGGCGGTGCCGTCGGCAGAGGCGCGGGCGCCTTCGTGTGCTGGGCTGGGTATGCCGAAGCGCGCGCCTCCGTGGGCTCCAAACGCGCGCTGGCCGGGTCTGCGGAAGTGTCGCCCTCGTGGGCGACCGTGCGCGCCTGTCGGGCGCCCCGTGCGTTGGCTGGGTCGGCTGCCAAGGCTTAAATCGGGCCTGTCCCTCTACAGGGGGAATATTCAAAGATAGTAAAAAATAGTCTGGGGACGTGTTTTTTTATACTATCTTTGAGCATGTTTTGAACATGTTTGGAGTATTTACACATTTTCGTCCAAAATCCGCCTGTAGGGGGACATGCTCGACCCAAGGCTAGGCGTCCCTGCTCTCCTCGATGCCTCCAAGCTCCTTCTCTCCTTCCTCTTCCTCCTCCCTGCCCTGCATCTGCCCAGCCTGCCTGGTGCCAGCGGTGCCGAGTTTTCGCCCGGAGGGCGACCATGGGCGCCTCGTGGGCGCCTCGCGCTGCTGGCACTGCATAGCATAGCCTCCATCACGTAGCTTCCACTGCGCTGCTTACACCAACTTCGGCTGCACCTTCAAGCGTACACCGCATGGCCTGCACGATATGGCTTTCGCAACACAGCTTGCGCCACATAGCCTACACCGCACACAGCTCGTACCGCACATAGCCTGCGCCACACAGCTTGCGCCACGCGTAGCCTGCAACGCGCGTAGTCTCCATCACCTATTGTAGACTACATAGCTTACGTACGCACCCAGAGGCCAAGAGCTCACCGTTTGGGATCAGCGCTGGCAGACATCTGCTTCCCCTTCGTGCTCCTCTCGCCTTCGTCCCGTCCACCTCCGCCCCCGCCTTCTCCCCCCCCTCCCTCTCCGGCCCCCCGCCGCCCCGAACCGAATCCCCCGAGCATCTCGGTGAACCCCCTGGGCGCCCAGGCTCTCGGAGCACAGACGCCTCGTGCTGGCACGCCAGGCGCGAGGCCGCTGTGTCGACTCGCGGCGCGGGCGCCGCCGGGACAGCGGGGGCTCCTCGAGCTGCTCCTCGCTTGGTGCCCGGGCGCGCCGGTCCGCAGCCGCCCCTGGCTCCTCGAGGAGGGGGGAGGCCTCGGGGCTCGGGAGCAGGCCTCCTCCTCCTCCTCCTCCTCCTCCCTTCTCCTCCCTTCTCCTCCTCCTCCTCCTCCTCCTCCTCCTCCTCCCTTCTCCTCCTCCTCCTCCCTCCTCCTCCTCCTCCTCCTCCTCCTCCTCCTCCCTTCTCCTCCTCCTCCTCCTCCTCCTCCTTCTTTCTCCTCCTCTTCCTCCTCCTCCTCCCTTCTCCTTCCTCTTCCCCCAGCGCTGCAGACCACGGTGATCGCATGATCCACTCGTGCAAGAGAGGGGAGAAAGAGAGAGAGAGAGAGAGAAGCTCCCCACCACCGGCCCCCCCCCCTCCACCATGCGGGGCGTGCCTGTGAGTCCGTCTTGATATACAGCGCCATCTGCGCTTGGAGTCTGCCGAGCTCGATACGGCATCCACGAGCGCCGTCCAAACTCAGCAGGGACACGAACTATGGGATCCGGGTGGTAGGAGCTGGCATGTCGTAGCGTGCAAAGGGTATACGCGACGACGATTGGCATACGGAAAATGTGCGTTGTCATTGTCGGTATCTCCCAATTTCTTTGAACGCAGACATCGGCAAACCCAAACATACAGCTCAGAGCCCGTCTGGACCCAAAATTGAGGCCCTGCCAGCTATCATATTGTGGTCCGGCATGTACAGCTACGACTTGTCTGGTACGGATTTCGGTCACTGCATATCGTGCCTGCTCGAACGTTTTTGCGGTTACCAGGTCTATGCGTATTTGTACAGTGCTGTACACTACTTCCAAGCTGCATTGGGTATATGCTTATTTGAGTTGCTCCGAATGAGGGTTATGGTCAAACAAACAACAGATGATTCTGGAAGCGTCGAGGAGTCTTGGAAATTCTGGGGCTAAGTGTTCTTCCAGTTCCACTTCAACGCCTCTGCATCTCGGGATTTCTGCATTCAACTGAGTCTCGCAAAGTCGGGCCGATGATTACGTCCAGCGTTGGGTGGTCCACTGTTCTGTGGTGGCTTCATGCTCCTTCAGTCTTACACGCCGCCCTGCAATCGAGGCAGGGCAATCAGCATGTAGGTTCAACAAGTCCTTTACACTCAGGATTGGGCACTCCCGCGCGCTGGCACACTTGGTGCATATCATGCTGCAGCATTTGAATGCGCAGCTTATTTGGGCTGCCCATGATGGCGTCCCTTTTGTAAGGCCATGCACATCGACCTCCACGCTTTAACATATGTTGTAGCGAGGCTCAGCGACCATTTAGTATCACCTACTGGCTGGTTCTTACCTGTCACAACAGCATGCTACGACATCTACTCAACGTCTCTCAACACCTGCTTAGACCAAGGTTCCTTAAATCCTGCTAGTCTATAGAACATCGAAATCAGGGATCGGGGACCTGTCCTCAACAACGCTGGGAGGTATGTTAGCCTGCGAATTCGGAGGATACCTGATGCTGGAAGCACCTCAAGGCTGTTATGTGAGGGGGGCATTGTGGGCATTCTGAACGCGGTGCGCTGGGAGAGCACCTCGTACTGTCTTGCGGCAATAGATATTTGCTAGCGTGGTCATTGCGATATAATGCCGCCGGCGGGAAAGCATTGAGCAGATGCGTCATGCCAAGTTGTTTGCAACATCCGATAATGGTGGGTCGCCCCTACGCTGTGATGTATGTGCGGAATCTGCTCCATCATACGAAGAGAAGCTTCGGTTCTTATTGGGTCTTGCGTTTTGTTTTGGTCAGTGACCGATTTTACCCCCTTGGTCCCAAGGGGCCGCGATAAACAGACATCACAAGAAATGCGCAGTTATGTGCATGCAATGTCTCACAGTGGTAATTGTGATCGACCCAATTTTCTGCACGAGACATAAGACATGCTGCGAACATAACATGTACGCACGTCGATGGCGATCGCCATCCGTAACGTAAATGTAGGCATCGGCTGATGAGGTTAGGGCAACTAGTTGAGACACGAAGAACGGCTAGTGTCAAACACGACTGAAACTTTTCCCCCTCAGTATCCTTGTTCTGAGGCCACCGTTCGCCCCCCATTCGGTCAGAAGTCTCGCTTCAGACCCTTCCATCCGCGTCGAGCAACAACATCTGTTTTTGATTTGTGCCTGAGTACAGACGTCCCGTCCAACCAATCCTGTCTCTCCTCATTCGCGCGCGCGTGCTGGCATGGCGCATGGCCGATTGCAATGGTGGTCTATCCGCGAGGGGCGTTGCCCCTGCAAGCGAGAAGGCGGGGGTGGGAGGCCAGCGCTGTGACGTGTTAGGGCTCAGTGGCTTTGTGTTTGCCCTTACGTCTGCATACGGCTTTAAAAGATGTACGTATACGGCATAGGCAACCGGGGATGCAAAACGTGGTTTAACATACAAATTGTATGTTAAACCACGCTTTGCATCCCCGGTTGCCTCTCTCGGCCCCTGGCGAGCAAACGGACAAAACCATCTACTTGCTTCGATTTTGCCGGCGTTCGCGCTTCCTGCATGCCGAACATGCCTACCTGTGCGCGGATCCACCGCGCGCTTCCTTTAGTGGGTGTCTCATCGTCGTCCTCAGCTGTGGGGGCAGTGTGTGAAACGAGGCGGGTAAGAATCTCATCATTCGGGTCGGCGGCCTGGGGATCCTCAGGTTTGGGTGGGCTTCCGAAGAGCTGGTGGCACTCATCTCCCCCTGCCTCCCTCTTAAACTGTTTGAGTCATCGAGGTGATGCAGCCGGCGCGCACGATCTGGAGCTGTGGCGAGCCATGACCGTTCGCGTGCAACGCTGGCATACAGCTCCCCGCTGATCTCAAAGGGGGGCATGCAAAAAAGCGCGAACGGTCTGGGGCTACGAACTCTGCTTGTGCATCGGCTACTCCAGACTTCGTCATAAAAGGGAGGGGGTCTGGACCCTCCAAGACAACCCATTTCAGACCTCCCCCGTGGGAGAACCCTCCAAAACATCGTCCCCAGACCCCCCAGGCCCTCCAAGATAGCCTGGAAGAGACCCCCCCCGAAATGAGACCCCCCTCCCTGTATTACGAAATCTGGAGTACCCTGTTCCAAGGGTTGTTGGCATGGCATCGGGCAAACGTGGCCCCGACGCGCGTGCACCGGCTTGGTTGAACAGGTATTGAGCAAGAGCAGAGATATCTTGATGGCTTGGCATCGCTCGGACGTGTGCGTGTTTTCCTCGGCGAAAACCATCGAGGAGCATCCTTGATCATTTGGCGAAGAACCACGCACGAAACCGAACAAAACACCGGGAACGGACGTCCGAGCGATGGCCAGGATGGCTGTTGGGAACAAGCTCTCTTGCCATGGTCTTAGAGGCGAGAGAGAACCGCTCTAGATCACAGCCCTTGGGGGGCTCAAGCCTGGCTTTGCTCCTAGCAGGACTGGCAGGCCCCCATTGCCAAGATCAGAGCCCAGATTGCTGCGCACAGCCGAGCTGTTACACGGGGTCACTCGTGCATGATGGCGCTGGTCTCTGCAAGGCGGCCTGCAGCTCCGCCTCTGGACTCCAGTCCGTCAGCGGCCTTCGACGTGACGACGAAGGCCCCAAGGACAAGCTGTGGATCGGCAGGCAAAGATCCATCAGTATAAAGGTGCGACATTGCTGGTACATCTTGAATTTGCTCTTCCATCTCTAGAACCGAACCTTGTCTGTTGCTCCAATCATATCAACGCGCCGCATATCTAACACAACATCGGAGTCTACGCCAGATTGCTTAGGTCGCCCCATTGATGGCCCAGGTGGCTTCATCTCGCTTAGAGCATAGGCATGGGTCGATTGAAATCGGCATGCCCGCACCCCTTCGGCATATTCAAGGCATTGGCAGCTGGCGCTGGTGATGGTGTCTCGTGAGACACCAAAAGAAATAGATAGGGCTTCCATCTCTGAAACAAAATCTGGACTGCCAAATCTTGCGGCTTATGGAAGCTTGATTTCAGCAACTAGACTATGGAACGTCATGGTGTCGAAGTTGCTCTTTCACGACGCTCTCTGAGCAGACGAACGTACCCGCTGTCTGTCTGAGGCTGGCCATCCTGAATAACCCCTGGGCCGATGCCGATGTGGACTCCGTGCCGCACATCCTTTAGAACTCGCCTGGGTCCTCCTCCTCCTCCTCCTCCTCCTCCTCGTCCTTCTCCTGCCATTAGGTCTCGTCGATCTTCACGTCCTTGCCGTTGGCACCCTTGCCCTTGGAGCCTCCTCTTTTGCGCTCGAACTGTACCTTGCGAACTGACACCATCGCTGAGCTCGCTGCACCTGTCTCTGCCGCCGCTGCCGTCGTTGGCGTGGGTGTTTCCATGCCCTCTGTCAAGATGGCCTGGCTCTGCAACACCTCGAGGACGGCAGTGAGAGTCTGGCAGTCGTATTCGGCATATTCTGCATGGTTGTGATCTGACATATGTTGCGACTGCTTTCGAAGGAGTCGATGGCTCTACTTGAATTCGTCCAGTGCTTCCTGGTTGGGGATCATCTCCATTGACGTCCGCAATCTCGCGCTCCTCCCTCATGCCTTTGACCAACAGTTCGAGCTCGGCCTTCTCGTTCAGGTGCTCTTCGATCGCCTCCTGTAACGCTAGTGCACTATGCTTCTTTGCGTGGACCTGATCGGCTATCTTCTCGAGCCAGGCGAGTCCTTAGGCCTTCGATCTGAGGTGCGATCGGCTTGTTGCTGAACAACGCCTGCTTTAGCACTGCGATCTCTCTGCTTTCCGATGTCACCCCTGCTTTGATTGCACGATTGCCGCAAGCTTGCACATCCGATGCTGAACATCTCTCTTGGACTCCGCTGTGTCGTCTGTGTTGGCTGGAGGCAGTAACCAAGCCTGATGTGCTTGAGCTGTTGCCGGCAGCGTTGATATGATGTCCCTTATGCGACGTTGGATCTGTTGGTGATACCCGACTTGGAACCGTCTTTGTCCACATGCGTCTGGTGGTCCCAGCACCGATGTCGATTCTGCGATCGTGGGCGATTGATTCTACATGCCCATCCGCACGAACAGTTCCACTGATTGGTCGGCAGCGCTGTCTGGCAGCTGCTTCGCTTGTACCACTCCTTTGCGCCACAGGACTGCCGTGATCACTCCCAGCCAATCTTGTCGCTCCTGACATGCGTGATATAACTCTGACGGCTGCTCGACGGGCGCGCTCCCGTCTGTGCCACCCCCGTCCCCGTCCACGGGGGAAACGAGGGAGTGTAAGAGGCATGGTGCCAAAGGAGGAAGAGGAGGAGGAGGAGGAGGAGGAGGAGGAGGAGGAGGAGGACGAGGAGGGAGGAGGAGGAGGAGGAGGAGGAGGAGGAGGAGAGATGTATGAAATAGAGAGGGTCGAAAGGCGGCGGATGTCCCTGCCTGGTCCATGCTGAACTGTGCTTCTGAACGCCGGAACACAGGATGTACACGGCCCGCGCAGGAGTGTTCCTCGCATGCGTGTCAGAGCCAGCCAGGGTGATGCCCGCACGCAGTGCGCATGCAACATGAACGTCGCCGTTCGAGCGACCCCTGCGCCGACGGACCTCGAAGTTATCCTGCGCGCCGGCGCGCACAAGTGTGAAAGTCCCACCAAAAGCGTCGCGTGTACTATCCCTTGCCGCGGGGGCGGGGCGCGGGCTCTGCAGCAAGTACGCCAGAAGCCTCTCCACCTGCCTCTGGCTCAAGCAGCGGCGAAGCGTCCAGGCTTGCCTATAGCCCTACCAAACAATATTCTAAGAACCCTTTGTGGTTTCCACGAAATGTTCTTGGAACATTTCTGGCGGAGTCTGTCTTGTTGTATCACATCGTCTTTATGTTCTAAGAACATTGTTTTTGATCTTAGAGCATTTTTGGGTTCTAAGAACATGTCGTGGCATGGCTATAGGAATGCCGTGACGGTCGGTCCCTGCTCAACTGGCCTCAGCACCAGGAGACTGAGACGAAGGCGAGGTCACATTGCAAGGCTCCCACAACCATGGCCTGCCCAGCAGCTCCACAGGCGGGGCACCCAAGTCTTGCGGAGCAAAGGGGGTAGCGTCAGGATTCATCGTCGACGCCTTTGGCAGCCTGGCACCTTTTTGCAGTTTCCTGAGCTCCTTGGCTGATGTAACCGAATCCATAGCCAGGCGGCGCCGACGCATGCAAGGCTACGTTCCGCCGAAGCACCACCGAATACTCAGGAAGGCGTCCATGCAGAAGGTCCGCGAGAGCTGGAACCAGCGCAAGAACTCGATCTGCAAGAGCAGGATCGTCGAAAAAGGATACGACCGATGGGAGAAGGTCGCCATACTTAACCCAGAGGTGCTTCAGCTTTTCGGCAAGCCGATGCATAGCCCGATCGGCCGAAAGGCGGGCCCAATCTCAGTGAGTTCGTCGCTCTGCAGCAGTACGTCGTAGTGGAACTGGGCATGCATCACCCATGCCCTCCTATGTCAGAACAGGCCCGTGAAGATTCCTGAGGCAAGGCCCACGCGCGAGGCACACTCGAGCCAGGGGGGTCGTGCGCTGCGGACGGCTTGAGCCAGAATGGCTACGGACCTCCTCCTCCTCCTCCTCCTCCTCCCTGCCCCCCCCCCGCCGCCATGGGCGCGGCTGCGAAGCTGCGAAGCCCCGAGGCAGGGCTGCTCGTGGTGTCGGCGATGTGGGGGCTGACTTTCCCGTTCATCTGGGGCGGCGAGATTTGCACAGTGAAGGGGGTCGAGCGGTCACTCGTTCTCCCTAGGCGGCGTGGCGGAAGTGTGATTCCGCTGCGCGGGTTATTGTTGTTGGTTGTTGTTGTTGTTGTTGTTGTTGTTGTTGGTGTTGTTGTTGTTGTTGTTGTTGTTGTTGCTGTTGTTGATGTTGTTGTTGTTGTTGTTGTTGCGTCGCGTTGCGTTATTGTTGTCATTGTTGTTGTTGGTATAGTTGTTGTTGGTGGTGATGGTGGCGATGGTGGTGGTGGTGGGGTGGTGGTGTTGTTGTTGCTGGTGTTGCTGTTGTTGTTGCTGTTGTCGTTGCTGTTGTGGTTGTTGATGATAATGTTGTTGGTGTGGTGTTGTGATTTCGTCGTTGCGGTTGTCTTTAAGGTTGTTGTTGCTGTTGATGGTGTTGTTGCTGGTGTTGTTCTTGTTGAACTCTCAAATCTGAAGAAATGTTACTGTTGATCACCCCCGCCTTGTGCACCTTGTATTTTTCAATTGCCTTTCCAGGGGCTCGCACCCTGTTTTTTTATCAGGGGAAGGCTTGAGCGTCAAACTGCGCCCCTGGCCCCCCGAGTTGCAACAACAACGGCTCCCGCCTGATATTTCCCAATGTATTCCCAAATCGCGCTCTCGCGCAGGACGTCCCCATATTCATACAGGAATCGCGCTCTCGTGTGGGACACCCTCGCAATTTATGCAGTCGCCGCGCCCTCGACACTCAGGAATCACGCTCTCGCTGTGGATGTCCTGACCATTTACTTGGGAATCGCGCTATCGCTCGATATTTCTTCGCGATTCATGCAGGACGCACGATTCAGCAACCCGCCTGCTCGACCTGGCCGCCTGGGCCCGCCTTCACAACCCGCCCGTTCGGGTCTACCCACCCGATCTGCCCGTCTGATTCTGATTGCACGCAAGACTTGTTGCAGGTGATACAGATGTATACCCCTAAGGGGGTACGTTCGAAAACGAAGAGGGCAGGTACTGATGGTTGGGGCTACACGTGTTGAATGGTCCGCGAGCAAATTAAGAGCAAATAGTTTTCAAGTGATTGATATTGTCGTTGTTGTTGGCGGTGTTGTTGTTGTTGAACTCTCATTTCTGAAGAATGATTATTGCTGATCCCCCCTCACAGGTGCATGCTGTGTTTTCTCGGTCTAAGTGTGCCCCTCGACGCTTGCACCTTATTGTTTGACAGGGATAGTGTTGGTGGTCAAACTGTGCCATTGCCCCCCCGGACTACAACAACAACGGCTCCCGCCTCAGACTTTCTCCAAATTTACTCAGGACTCCCCTTCCCGTCTGAGAGATTTCCCCCCAATTTACTCAGGAACGGCGCTCCCGCTTGAGACTTCCTCGCAATTTAGTCCGGGTCAAACTGCGTTGTTGGTCCCCCACCCCAGACTACAACAACAACGGCTCCCGCCTGAGACTTCCTGACAATTTCTTGAAGAATCGCGCTCTCGCTTTGGACTTCCTGGCAATTTACCACCGAACTGCGGCTCCCGCCTGAAACTTCCTGACAATGTAGTATAGAAGCGTATTATAGAATCGCGTTCTCGCTTGGGACTTCCTCGCATCCTACCGCCGAACAGCTTCGCTTGATATTTCCGCACAATTTATCCAGATGCCGGTCCTCGACAATCAGGAATCGCGCCCCCGCTACATATTGCCTCGTGTTTCAAGCAGGACTCACGCTTCAACGACCCGCCCGCTCGACCCGCCCGTCGGGGCCTGCCCGCCCGACCAAACCGTTAATGACTGCAGTCGCCGCTCGTTGCCCTTCGCCCGCCTTCGATGCCCCTCGCTGCCCGTACTGGTTCCGCGGTCGCCTTCGCTCGCTGCCCTTCGTGGCCCCGTTGCTGCCCTCAGTGGCCCCGTCGCTGCCCTTTGTGGCACCGCATTATATGCCCTTCGTGGCCCCCGCTCGCACGCGCCCGTCGTGGCCCCATTCGCTTGCCCTTCGTAGCCCCGCTGTCGCCTCTCGTGGCTCCCTCGCTGCCCTTCGTGGCCCCATTTGCTGCCCTCAGTGGTCCCGCTGTCGCCCTTTGTGGCCCCGTATGCGAATGCCCTTCGTGGCCCCCGCTCGCTCCCGTCGTGGCCGCATATGCATGCCCCTCGTGGCCCCGCTGTCGCCCTTTGTGGCTCCCTCGCTGCCCTTCGTGGCTCCGGTGCTGCCCTCAGCGGCCCCGTCGCTGCCCTCTGTGGCCTCGGATTTTATGCCCTGTGGCCCTCGCTGGCTTTCTCACGATTTACTAGGGAATCGCGTTATCGCTCGAGACTTCCTCGCGATTCATGCAGGACCCATGCTTCAGCAACCCGTCTGCTCGACCTCGTCGCTTGGGCCCGCCTTCCCGACCTGCCCGCTATGGGTCTGCCCACCCGATCTGCCCGTTTGGTTCTACCACTCGTTTTCTGCTCCTTGCCCCGCTCCTGCTAATATGTCTCGTGCTCCATTCTTCTCACTCCCCCTTTCACCCGTCCTCTCTTCCCTTGTTTAAAAGGCTGCATTGAATACACGTGGCAGGTAAGGAAGATCTACCCCCAAGGGGGTACGATCGAAGACGACGAGGGCGGGTACCGAGGGTCTGGGATCTACGTGTTGATTGGCACGTGAGCAGATAGGAGCGAACAGTCTTGAAATGATTGTTGTTGTTCCCCCGGGTTACAACAGCAACAACGGCTCCCACCTGATATTGCCGCATCAATTATTCCCTAGTCGCGCTCTCGCGCGGCACTTCCACACAATGTATACAGGAATTGCGCTCCCGCGTGGGGACTTCCTCGCAAGGTATCAAGACGCCGCACCCCCAGCAGTCAGGAATCACGCTTTCTTTGCGGATGTATTTTGATGTATTTGGGAAGTGCGCTAGAGCTCGAAACCTCCTCGCGGTTCATGCAGGACGCCCGCTTCAGCAACCCGCTTGCTCGACCTGGCCGCCGGGGCCTGCCTTCCCGACCCACCCGTCGGGGTCAACCTGCCCGATCTGCCCATCCGGTTCTGCCACGAGTTTCCTGCTCCTCGCCCCACTCCTGCTACTCTCTCTCTCTCTCTCGTGCTCCATCCTCCTCCCTCCCCCTGGTCCCTTCCTTCCATCCGTCCTCTCCTCCCCTTCCTTCGAGGCTGCATGAACTGCACGTTGCAGGTTAGAAAGAGAGAGAGTGAGAGAGAGAGAGGGAACAAAAAAACGTGTGTGTGTATATGTGTGTGTATCCCCAATGGGGCACGGTCGAAGACGAGCAGGGCGGGTATCGAGGGTTTGGGATATACGTGTCGAATGGCACGCGATCAGATGAGAGCGAACAGGTTTTTAAGCTATGCTTGTTGTTGTTGTTGATGTTGCTGTTGTGTTGTTGGTGTTGTTGTTCGTGTTGTTGCTGCTGCTGCTGTTGTTGATCCCCCCCTCCGGTACCATATGTGTTTTTCAATTGAAGTGCTTCTCCCAGGGCTCGCACCCTGCCTTCTAGCAGGGAAAGTCTTCCCGCTCAAACTGCGCCCCTTGCCCACGGGCTACGACAACAACGGCTCCCGCCTGACACTTCTTCGCTAGGGGCTTCCTTTCAATGTATCCCAGAATCGCGCTTTCGCTTGTGACTTCCTAGCAATTTATTCAGGCGCCACACCCTCGCCATTCAGGAATCGCGCTCTGGCTTGGGAGTTCCTCATAATTTACTTTGGAATCGCGTTCTCGCCTGAGATTCCCTGGCGAATTATGCAGGACTCACGCATTCGCGTGACACACGTGTTTTTTTCAAATGAAGTGCTCCTCCTGGGGCTCGCTGCGATTTTACCGGAGAAAATCTTCCTGCTCAAATTGTGTCCCTGGCCCCCAGCTTACAACAACAGCGGTTCCCGCCTGAGATTTCCTCGCAATGTATTGGAGAAGTTTGCTCTCGCTAGGGACTTCCGTTCAATTGATTGAAGAATCGTGCTCTCGCCGGATAGTTCCTTGTAATTTATTCAGGCGTCGCGCTTTCGTCAATCACGAATCGCCCTGTCGCTTCGAACTTCCTCGCACTCGATTCAAAAGCCGCGCCGTCGACACTCAGGAATCACGCTCTCGCTGTGGATGTCTTGGCGAGATGTTGTTTGGAATCGCGCTGTCCCTAAAGCCTAAAGCTTCCTCGCGATTTGTGCAGGACGCACGCTTCAGCAACCCGCCTGCTCGACCTGGCCGCCTGGGCCCGCCTGTTCGGATCCACCCGCCCGATCTGCCCTTCTGGTTATGCCACGTGTTTTCTGCTCCTGGCCCCCTCTCCTGCTACTCTTTCTCGTGTTCCATCCTCCTCTCTCACCCTTTTCCCTTCCATCCGTCCTCTCTTCGCCTGCCTTAGTTGTTGCACGAAATGCACGTTGCAGGTAAGAAAGATATACCCTAAGGGGATACGACTGAAGACGAAGAAGGTGGGTATCGAGGGTATGGGGTATACGTGCTGGATGGCACGCGAGCAGATGAGAGCGAGCAGTCTTCAACTTGTTGTTGTTGTTGGTTGTGGTGGTGTTGTTGTTGCCGTTGCTGCTGAACTCTCGCTACTGAAGAATAATGTGGGTTGATCCCCGCTTCCGGTAAACATTGTGCTTTTCATTTGAAGTGTTTCCTCCGCGGTTCGCCCCTCGTTTTTGTACCAGAGTAAGGCACAAGGCTCGAACTGCGTTCTTGGCCCTCGGATTACAACAACGGCGGCTCTTGTCTGAGACTTCTCACAATTTAGCATTTTACTCTCAGGAATCGCGCTCTCGCTTGGGACCCCTTGCACTTTATTCGGGAATCGCTCTCTCGGCGCTCTGAGAGTCGCCGCTCTCGCTGGAGACTCGCTTGCAAATTACTCCAAAATCGCGTTCTCGCGTTGGAGTTTCCCACAATTTACCGCGCTCGCGCTTAGGACTCCTTCGCAGCTGACTTAGGAATCGGGATCTCGCTGCCCTTCGTGTCCCCGTTGCAGCCCTTCGTGGCCCCCTCGCTGCCCTTCGTGGACACGTTGCAGCCATTCGTGGCTCCCTCGCTGCCCTTCGTGGACACGTTGCAGCCATTCGTGGCCCCCTCGCTGCCCTTCGTGGCCCCGTTGCAGCCCTCGTGGCCCCCTCGCTGCCCTTCGTGGCCCCGTTGCAGCTCTTCGTGGCCCCCTCGCTGACCTTCGTGGCCCCGTTGCAGCCCTTCGTGGCCCCCTCGCTGCCCTTCGTGGACCCGTTGCAGCCCTTCGTGGTTCCCTCGCTGCCCGTCGTGACCCCGTTGCACCCCTTGTGGTGACCCCCTTGCTGCCCTTCTTGGCCCCGTTGCAGCCCTTCGTGGCCGCTGCCCTTCGTGGCCGCGTAGCTGCCCTTAGTGGCCCCGTCCTTACCCTCTGCGGCCCAATAGAAGTATACCCTTCGTGGCCCCCGCTCGTTCGCGCCCGTCGTGGCCCCATATGCATGCCCTTCGTGGCCCCGCTGTCGCCCTTTGTGGCCCCTTCGCTATCCTACGTGGCCCAGGTGCTACCCCCAATGGCCCCGTCGTTGCCCTCTGTGGCCCTGCATTATCTGCCTGCCCTTCGTGGCCCCCGCTCGTTCGCGCCCTTCGTGGCCCCATACGCATGCCCTTCGTGGCCCCGCTGTCGCCCTTTGTGGCCCGCTTCCTGCCCTTTGTGGCCCCGCTGTCGCTCTCGCTTGCGCTCGTCGCCGTCGTCGCCGTCGTCGTCGTCGTCGTCGTCGTCGTCGTGGTCGGTCCCCTGTCCGTCCCTCTTGGTGTCGGGCTGCCGCCGATCAGCGTTGCCGCTGGCCAGGCCGACGGTCCGCGGCCGCCGCGCCTCTTGCCGGGGCCCGGCTTGCAGGGAAGAAGGATATACCCCCCAAAGGGGTACGATCGAAGACGAAGATGGTTGGTATCGAGGGTTTGGGAAATCCGCGTGTCATAACACTCGAGCGAATAAGAGCGAACAGTCTTAACATGATTGTTGTTGGTGGTCGTTGTGGTGGTGGTGGTGTTGCTGTTGTTGTTGCTGTTGCTGTTGCTGTTGTTGTTGTCGGTGGTGCGGTTGCTGCTGTTGTTGCTGTTGTTGCTAGTGTTGTTGTTGTTGTTGGTGGTGTTGTTGATGTTGGTGGTGTTGTCGTTGTTGTTGTTGTTGCTGTTGTTGCTGCTGTTGTTGTTGCTGTTGTTGTTGTTGCTATTGTTGTGTTTGTTGATGATGTTGTTGTTGTTGTTGAACATTATTTATTCTAAAGAATAATTATTGTTGGGCCCCCTGGTGCGCGCCCCCCCTGCGCCGCCTAGGCCGCAGCTACATTTTCATCATTTTCGTGAGGAAGCCTCAGGTAAAAGATGTGATACAGATCCGGTTGTTTTGTTGTAATCCGTTTTCCCTTGCAAAAAACACTATAAAATGACATTTCTTGTTCTAATATAATCAAATTTCAAGAATCCCTTGCAAAAAATAAGGTAAAGTGGACATTCGCGCGCGCAAGACGAAATCCTTCCAAAACCTTAGTGTTCGTAACGATTTTAACATAAAAACATCAAAAAAAAACCAATGGTTTTTCAAAAAAAAAAATTGTCAAAATTTCATCCCGCGCGCTCTTGCGGATTCGTAGGAAACCCAACACTTTTTAATCATTTCTGTCAAACGGGCTTTTGCGAGCAACTTTTTCGAACTTCTGCAACAACGGTTGCGCACCTGCCAGGGCCATCATCCCTGTCAAATAATACCATGCGGGACACATTCGTTTTTTCTTCGCGCGCGCACGCCGTCGTCGTCGGCCGCGGGGCCCTGAATAGTAGCCACGGTCGTCCGCATGCCACGAAGTGAAGTGTCCGAACGTCATAGGGCGGGAAGCTGGGTGTGGGTGGTGGCGAAGAGTCGTTTGGAAATTTGGTAGAGCTTGAACCGGCCCCCCCACAAAGTGGGGGTATTGCCCGCCTCCTATGAAAACCCTGGCACTGGTGAGAACGGAGTGTCCCCACGTGCTAGTAATTGTTGTTGTTGTTGTTGTTGTTGTTGTTGTTGTTGTTGTCGGCGTCCCTCCCGCGACCCATCCCGCGACCCATCCCGCCCGCCGTTTCACTCTTGTCCGTAACTGCGGTGTGCTTCATATCCACTGCCCTTGGGCAGC